TTAATTTCCCCCTCCCCCCCCCCCCCCCCCCCCCCCCCCCAATTTCTGCCAAATTTTCTCCTACCATACAAATTTGAAAAAAAATTGTAAAGCAATTTAAATTAGTTTTATATTCAAATGGTAAAATCCAAAGTATTCATTAGATCAAGGGTATCAAACTCAAATTATGGGGGGAGGGGGGGGGCGCAGGAGGTAGTGTCTGAATGAGAGTGGGCCGCATCAAGTAATCCACAAAAAAGCGATTACAACTGTTACAATCTGGTCAACCTTTATAAATAACAAAAAAAATCATTAAGGGTTCTCAAGAACTAGGATTGACTTTCATCCACCTACTCACTGTTGCCAGAGAGCTGGCATACACAAATTATATATATAGACATAAAAAAAAAAAAATCAGAATTAGATTTGTCGGTGAGATTCGACTGAAACCGTCGCGGAGAGTCACGCTGGCCGCGAGTTAGAGAACCCTAAATTAGATTTTTATTTATTAATATTTACGATTATCTCATTTTTATAAAAAGAATGTAAATATTTATATTTTCCCACATCATTTTCGATATAAGCAGAATGTATGCGGGAACGAATTTCAAAATATCTTAATATTTCATTTTCGGCTTCGGTTTCGGCCGAAATTCATTTTCAACTTTCGGTATTTTTTCGGTTTCGGCCGAAAGTTATTTTTAAACTTTCGGCCTTTTTTCGGTTTCGGCCGAAAGTCATTTTAAACTTTCGGCCTATTTTCGGCTTCGGCCGAAATCAGAAAATCACTTTCGGTTGGTCTCTACTATACACAGAGTGATCTTATAAGATATTGATACTATACACAGAGTGATCTTATAACATATTGATACTATACACAGAGTGATCTTATAACATATTGATACTATACACAGAGTGATCTTATAACATATTGATACTATACACAGAGTGATCTTATAACATATTGATACTATACACAGAGTGATCTTATAACATATTGATACTATACACAGAGTGATCTTATAACATATTGATACTATACACAGAGTGATCTTATAACATATTGATACTATACACAGAGTGATCTTATAACATATTGATACTATACACAGAGTGATCTTATAACATATTGATACTATANTTTACTTTTTTTTTTTTTTTTTCTTTGGTTAAAACATAAATTTGAACAGGTAAAGCTCTCCCTTTCTCCACTTCATCAAAGTTAACAGTCTTCACCGTATCACTTGCACATGACAAATGGCAAGACCAGAAATATTAGATCGAAAATGGCTTTATATAAGTTCCATTTTTGAATAGCTCATCTACTACAGATGTTGACAAATAGTTTTAGTTCTAATGCCAGTATTGGAGAGATTGTTGGAAAGTCCCATTCAGATACGAATTTTAACATTTCAAATATTGACCAATCTGAGGCTTGGGGCTGAAGACCCTTGGGCAAAAATATTAACATACAAACCGATGAAAATTATTATTAGAAACAAGAAAGGAGATAATTGCAGATAATTTAAATTTAGACTTTTCATGTTTTGTTTTCTGAATTGAACGCCGCGACAACATGACCCACTAAGAGCGTCACAAACTTAAGCTACACCACTAAATTTTTGGAAAACGCACTGGACGCTATAGCGGCACCCTGCTCTTGTGGTCAAATATTATTGAGGCATTCCGTTCTGGTGGCAATCTGGCTGGTGGCATTTTGTCTGGTGGCATTTTGTCTGGTGGTATTCTGTCTGGTGGCATTCTGTCTGGTGGCATTCTGTCTGGTGGCAATCTGTCTGGTGGTATTCTGCTGTTGTATATAACTAAAATTAGATAATATCTTGAAATCGTGTAACCATGATTGGCCAAGGCAGCGCCGGCATTGGGTCAACGTTCGCCCTGTGCGGAGCAACCCTGCCCCTGTAGGGCTCCGCTCTTTTTCCGATTACGACGTAGGCTATAGAGCACGTGTTATGGTGCTATACATGTAGCTAACCATACTATGGCGCACGTGTTATGATTCTATACATGTAGCTATCCATACTATAGAGCACGTGTTATGATGCTATACATGTAGCTAACCTTACTATAGAGCATGTATTATGGTGCTATACATGTAGCTAACCATGCGCATTTTAACATCCACATTAATTAAGACTGTGTAACAACGACGTTGATTGTAACGCCGATGTTATATCATTATGAGTATTGTCTAATGTTGCTCTTCTTCTTGTACTTGCGTATCCAGAGTTCCTAGTGATCATTACAATAGGTATCGTTTTATTAAAGCATGTGGCCAAATTCCATATCCCACATCACAATATTTATTCACAGAATATTCACGTCATCACAGTATATAAAATAAATCGCCCGATTGGAGAAAACATATTTATCATCATCTTGTTACTCCATATATAACCATATATAATAATTCTCTCAGATTCGTGGGACATCTATCACGATGTTATAAGATGTACATTAATCACGGCCAGCGCCTTCATGACACAAAATCTATCTCGTCCTGTCTGTTCGTACTTCTGCGCATGACATATTAATATATCTAACTTCCTGTTAATATTTGAACTGTTACAGACTGTTTTCTTTTTCTACGGTACCTCACACTTCACTATAATAAACTAAGGGGATTTATATCTTTACTGGGCGCCTCTATGGCCAAGCGCTACCAAACGTTCCGTAAAGATTAACAAAATAAGTCCGTAAAAATTTGGCCTAAAATGACTTGTTCGTAAATTTCCGTAACATTAGGATGTCCGTAACAACATTAGTATGTCCGTAACAACATTAGGATGTCTGTAACAACATTAGGATGTCCATAACAACATTAGTATGTCCGTAACAACATTAGGATGTCTGTAACAACATTAGGATGTCCATAACAACATTAGGATGTCCGTAAAAAAATGAGACACTGTACAAACATTTTTTGGAGTTTACTGTTGGGGGGGGGGGTGTCATCCGATGCGGCCTGCACCTCGCTAGTGACGCCACTGCGCCTTTCTTAACTCAAGATGTGGTGAGAGAAAATTTTACTTCGGTCTTACTTCAAAGTAGTTACCAGATAGTTCATTTGTTGTTACCATTTTCATGTCTTTTTATTTCATGTAATCCACGATTAAGGACACTCGTTTACTGTCTCGTACTTGGGCTTGTCTCAACTGTACGCTGTGATTCAACATGGGAATGATTCTTTAAATAATTCCAAGCTAGTGTTGTGGGGTGGGGGTTGCTATCTATTTGAGAATTGTAGGGTGTTGCACGTGACTATAAATTGTGTTAAATAAACAATCCACGATTAAGGACACTCGTTTACTGTCTCGTACTTGGGCTTGTCTCAACTGTACGCTGTGATTCAACATGGGAATGATTCTTTAAATAATTCCAAGCTAGTGTTGTGGGGTGGGGGTTGCTATCTATTTGAGAATTGTAGGGTGTTGCACGTGACTATAAATTGTGTTAAATAAACAAGGCACCAAGTGACGCATGCTTATCAAGTGCGTTCCTCGAGCTGGATCAGTGGTTGTCAAGTGCATGTCATTGTGTTCCTACAGCTGGCTCAGTGGTTGTCAGGTGCATGTCATTGTGTTCCTACAGCCGGATCAGTGGTAATTAAGTACATGTCATCGTGTTCCTGGAAATAAATAAGACAAAGTATGGGAAAACCTGAAGAAGGAACGCAACAAAGCAACGAACGTGTCGGCAAGAAGCCTTCATCAGCGAACAAACAACATTTTAAAAAAAAAAAATAAAAATAATAATAAAAAAAACACGTAGCTGAAACTTTTATTTCGGCTATGTCCCTTTTCAGGGGTTCCCATACCTTTTTTCAGTGATTTCTTTTTTTTTTCTTCTTTTTTGCTAACTTGATTGCAGTCTCTCCCCCTTATTACCATCATTTTGTTCCTACATCTGTATCAGTGGTTCTTAAGTGCTTGTCATTGTGTTCCTACATCTGTATCGGTGGCTCTCAAGTGCATGTCATTGTGTTCCTACAGCTGGACCAGTTGTTCTCAAGTGAATGTCATTGTGTTCCTCCAGCTGGACCAGTGGTTCTCAAGTGCATGTCATTGTGTTCCTACCGCTGGATCATTGTTAGTTCATAATTTATATGCCATTTTTATCTACCCATCTGTACAAAAAAAACAAAAAAACTAAATGTTCATGCTGTATAGAACAGGTATCCCCAAACGCTGGTCAGCGGGCAGGTAATGGCCCGGGAGCTTTACGTTGCCGGTCCGCACAAAAGGAATCTTTAGGGTCAAATAACAAAAAAATATTTATAACAAATTAATCTGACACCGGTCCCTGGCGCAATTTCGAAAGTTGTCCTGACTTAAAAGCTTGGGAAACGCTGGTTTTAAAGGAATGTGTGTTAAGACTCGGGGTTCTTGCAATGAACACAGTCCCAGAATTGTTGGATTTGATCAAAGCTTTAGTTGTATTTGTATTCAGGATTGGGAAATCGATCATCGGCCGGCTTGTAACTGTATAGCTGTGGTGACTAGCAATATGGATTAGCAGTGATGACTAGCAGAGGTTACTAGCAGTGGTGACTAGCTGTGGTAACTAGCCATATGAACTAGCGGTGGGGACTAGCAATATGGGCTAATAGCAGTGGTGACTAGCAGTGGGGACTAACAGTGGTGACTAGCAGTGGGGATTTCATAAATAACAAGAATGAACGCAATGGTAATGTTCAAGCTTCTTCATGTTGAGGTCGGTATATTCTTTTAAAAAAATATTTGAAAACAAATTGTATGAAATTTTACGATTGGCTACAAGCTTCAACTTAACCAGCAATTAATCTAAACCAACAGTCTAAACCAACAGTCTAAACCAACAGTCTAAACCAACAATCTAAACCAACAATCTAAACCAACAGTCTAAACCAACAATCTAAACCAACAATCTAAACCAACAGTCTAAACCAACAATTTAAACCAACAATCTAAACCAACAGTCTAAACCGAAAATGGAAGGGGAAAACACGATAATCATGCAGGCTTTTTAAAAAATAAGTTTTAAGTTTGGTAGTAAAACACTACTTTTCATTGTTACAATTGAATGCACCCTCTTCTTTCCTCGGATTTTTCTCTGACTCTATTTCATCCACCAATGACATTTTTAAAAAAAAATTAGAACTATTATTTTGTACATCAGATGTGACCGTGACGCCTCCCCCCTCACCGGCCCACTAGACTGGCCTGGCTCTACCTACCAGCAGCATGTCGGACTGTAGCAGCAACTCCACCGATGGACGCGACTCTCCCGTGTTCGCTGCACCCACCACGTCGTCGCCCATGACCAGCCGCACCAGCAGCCACAGCACCGCAGGCGTCCAGCTGCAGCGCCACTCTGGACACCGTAAGCACAGCGCAGAGCGCACCAGCGTGCACACGCGCACCATCGTGCACACGCGCATGGAGGATGAGGATGTCCACAAGGAGTACAGCTATGGCGAGATTCTGGGGGAAGGTTCATTCGGCAAAGTGTATCGAGCTCAGCAGCTGCGGACAGGGGAGACTGTCGCCATCAAGGAGATTGTCAAAGAAAAGGTCAGTGCTTGTTATATACATGGACATCTTTGTAAAAGGTAAACTCTGATCATCTGTGTCTTTGGAGGGTACTCTAGCACTATTTCTCTGGAAGGTACTCTAGTCCTATGTCTTTGGAAGGTATTTTAGTACTGTCTTTTTGACAGGTACTCTAGTCTAGCAATATATCTTTGATTGGTATAGTCTAGCACTATGTTTTAAAAGTTACCCTGGCACTGTCTTTGACAGGTACTCTAGCCCTATGTCTTTCAGGCGTACTTAAGCACTGTCTTTGACAGGTACTCTAGTCCTATGTCTTTCAGGCGTACTTGAGCACTGTCTTAGGAAGGTAGTCAAGCAAAATGACTTTGGAAAGTACTATAGTCTTATTTCTTGGGAATGTATTCTAGACGCACATATTTGGAAGGTATTCTAGTAGCATGTATTTGGACGGTACTCTAGTTCTATCTTTGGAAGGTACTCTAGTTATATCTTTGTAAGGTACTGTACAGGGCCGGCCTTAGGCCACTGCAACCTATGCAGCCGCAGTGGGCCCCGCAATTTATTTTCTAATACAAAATCTTAATTTTCACGTATTATCCTTATCCCTACCCAGACTAGGCCCCGCGCAATCCATTTCGCATAGGGCCCCGCAATAGTTAGGGCCGGCCCTGGTATTGTAGCTCTATTGTTGGAATGTACTCTAGCTCTTTGTTTGGAATGTACTCTAGCTCTTTGTTTGGAAAGTTAGTCTGGTCTTTAACTTTGAAAGCTTATTTTTTTTGTATTATGTTTTTCAAGGTATGCTTGAAACGTAATTGTTCATAAATAATCTAACTCTGAGGGAGAGAGAGACACCCAATGATGGTGTGACCAGCTTACCACAGCCATAGAGACACCCAATGATGGTGTGACCAGCTTACCACAGCCATGTATTTACGGTCAAGTGTGTGTAAACCGGACTACTCCTTATTGTATTCATGCTCAAGGGCGTCTAGTCCTGACTACTCCTTATTGTATTCATGCTCAATGGCGTCTAGTCCTGACTACTCCTTATTGTATTCATGCTCAAGGGCGTCTAGTCCTGACTACTCCTTATTGTATTCATGCTCAATGGACCTAAGATTCGTGGATTGTTCACATCAGATTGTAGGAGGAACTTCTTTTTTTAAACCGGACTTGGGGGTTCTTGAATTTTCTTCGACCTTGGATAACAGTTTATTTTTGCATCTGTCTATTTTAAGATATTAATTGAAATAAGAGTTCTAAAAACATTGTATAAGAGTCCTAAAAACATTGTATAAGAGTCCTAAAAACATTGTATAAGAGTCCTAAAAACATTGTATAAGAGTCCTAAAAACATTGTATAAGAGTCTTAAAAACATTGTATAAGTGTCCTGAAAACATTGTATAAGAGTCCTAAAAACATTGTATAAGAGTCATAAAAACATTGTATAAGAGTCCTAAAAACATTGTATAAGAGTTCTAAAAACATTTTATAAGTGTCCTAAAAACATTCTATAAGAGTCCTAAAAACATTGTATAAGAGTCCTAAAAACATTGTATAAGTGTCCTGAAAAACGTTCGATTTAAAAATAGTTCTTTCCATGAATTTGTTTAATGACAAGCGAAGTGTCGCACTTTCTGGTGAACATTTTCCCTTTTATTTCTGCATTTTCTGTGTTTCTACATTTCATAAGATGTTCGTTTTAGTTATAGAAAGAAAAAGTTTGTTAAAAACGAGTAAACCAGATCAAAAATCTCATTCAAAGTTCATTCCTGAGGATACAGTGTAAAGTTTGAGATGAACAGAACCTACTCCTAACACTACGATCAACCGACTTCATGACTCTGTTCTTAACACATGACCTTGTTGTCGGGGTTTAACCACTTGGACTAGACTTACGTAGTTGCGTCCACAACACTCTCTCAAAACACCAGTGTTTAACCTCTTGGGTCAGAGTTACATAGTTACATCCACAACACTCTCTCTTAACACCTGTAACATAATCAGTCCATTCAATTTAAACCATAGCACGCCTGCCAGTCTGGGGCAACTCACGGGGCATGTACTATTCGGGTGTGCCGATGTCTGGGCAACTCACAGGGGATCTACTTCTCAGCTGTGCCGATGTCAAGGGTTAATGGTGACAAAACAATCGCGGTTTGTTTGGTCCCCATTTTGCACTGGTTGAGATCCTTTAAGCTTTCAATATTTATGGAACTTTGGAGGGACAAATTGAGGGACGGTTGGGGGGGGGGCTGCTTGCTAGTTGATTTCAGATTCAGTTTCAGGTTATATTTTAATGATGTCAATACCTGTTTACCTTTACAGGTAACTGTTGCATTTGAATGTGCAAAACCCATGAAATGTCGCCTTTACGGCGTCTAGTTTAGCCGTGTAGTTGACAAAGAGAGCTTTTCAGCGCCTCTTTAATTAAGTGTGGTACGGACTCAATGGACCGAATGAGACGTTCACAATAGCTCTGTAAGCCATTGGGTCTTTTATATCTATGTTTAGCGACTACAGACCCTCTTAATGGAATGCCCAGTATGTCCCCATATCCCCTTTGATTAGACTGCTGAAAGACTATATGTCTGTAGACGCGTTCAAAGAGCCAGTCCGTATGCACACATGGTTTGGTTCACATACCCCCTCCCCTCCCCTGAAGAGGTCATTTGACACGTTGCATTAGGCGCTACCGAAATTTGAGGCACGTGCTAAGGTGCTAATCAGGTCAATGTTGATTACATCACTTTAAAAAGGTCTTGCTGAATTGTCAATGTTAATTTCATTACTTTAGGAAGGTCTTGCTGAATTGCCAATTTTAACTACATTACTTTAAAAAGTTCTTGCTAAATTGTTAATTGGCACACCTTTGGGAAGGTCTTGTCTGAGCTGTCAATGTTACTTTCATTACTTTGTTAAGGTCTTTATCTGAATTGCCAATGCTACCAAGTTACTTTGGTAAGGTGCCCGCCTGAGTTGTGCGTGCTTCATGTTACGTCTCATGGCCCCAAAAAATCCCTGTGTCTTCAAATTGAACAGATCGATACATTAATGAAATATTTGACCAATCAATCGCAACCCAACATGAAGTGTCAACACATCATGGAGTGTCAACACAGTATGAAGTGTCAACACAACATGAAGTGTCAACACAACATGAAGTGTCAACACAACATGAAGTGTCAACACAGAATGGAGTGTCAACACAGCATGGAGTGTCAACACAGCATGGAGTGTCAACAAACATGAAGTGTCAACACAACATGAAGTGTCAACACAACATGAAGTGGCAACACAGCATGAAGTGGCAACACAGCATGGAGTGTCAACACAGCATGGAGTGTCAACACAGCATGGAGTGTCAACACAGCATGGAGTGTCAACACAGCATGGAGTGTCAACACAGCATGGAGTGTCAACACAGCATGAAGTGTCAACACAACATGAAGTGTCAACACAGAATGGAGTGTCAACACAGCATGGAGTGTCAACACAGCATGAAGTGTCAACACAGTATGAAGTGTCAGCACAACATGAAGTGTCAACACAACATGAAGTGTCAACACAGCATGGAGTGTCAACACAGCATGGAGTGTCAACACAGCATGAAGTGTCAACACAGCATGAAGTGTCAACACAGCATGAAGTGTCAACACAGCATGAAGTGTCGAAACACTGCATGAAGTGTCAACACAGCATGAAGTGTCGAAACACTGCATGAAGTTTCGTTTTGTTTGGAACTGATCCGAGGGCAGTCGAGATTGTCATTCTAGGATTGGCCTGGTGAGCCACTCGTTGAAATGTAGGACTACATAGCTACTCCATCGTCTCGCGAAGACGGAAGGATGCCATATATATCCGAGGGCATTAGCAGGATGCGCCGTGAGCTACAGTGGCTCTCTAAGTCCTGCTACAATGGTTCTCCAAATCCTACAACAGTTGTTCTCCAAGCTCTGCTACATTCGTTCTCCATGACATGCAAAAGTGGTTCTCCAAGCCCTGCTTAAAATAGTTCACCAGGCTCTGCTACAGTGCTTCTCAAAGCCCTGCTAAAGTGCTTCTAAAATCCATGCTACAGTAATTCTCCAAGCCCTGCTAAAGTAGTTCACCAGGCTCTGCTGCAGTGCTTTTCAAAGCCCTGCTAAAGTGCTTCTAAAAGCCATGCTAAAGTAATTCACCAAGCCCTGCTACAGTTGATCTCCAGGCCATGCTACAGTGGTTCTCTGGGAGAGATACAAGAGTTTTCGTTGTCTTAATGTCTTTCAGGGCCTCGTGGCATGATGAGTTTAAATCGTGCCCACTTCAGTGGTTCTCATTTGTTTGTAGTTATATTTAATAAAGATAAAGATGGTCAACTTCAGACCAACGTAATTCACTATTCATACCAAAAATGAATCTCTCAGCATGTTAACATCTACCATGATAGTAGGTCATCATGACATCTACCATCATAGTAGGTCATCATGACATCTACCATATAGTCGGGAGGCGATGTCAGGTTGGTGAGATGACCCAGACTTTTTGGAACAAAACAAAAAACTTATTTCTATAATTGCATATCCCCGGATGCGAAAATTTGTGCACAATTGAAGCGTGGTGAAGCATTGAGAGGTAGTGAAGAGCTGCAAAATACTAAGATCCCTTTCCATGGATATTGTACCTGTAAGTTACCTGGGTGTACATGTAAGTTACGGGGTGTACTTATAAATTACCTCGGTGTACCTGTAAGTTACCTGGGTTTACCTATAAATTTCCTGGGTGTACATGTAAGTTACCTGTATGCACCTGTAAGTTACCTGTATGTACCTGTAAGTTACCTGGGTGTACCTGTAAGTTACTTGGGTGTTCCTGTAAGTTACTTGAATGTACCTGTAAGTTACCTGGGTGTACATGTAAGTTACTTGGGTGTACCTGTAAGTTACCTGGGTGTGCCTGTAAGTTACTTGTGTGTACATGTAAGTTACTTGTGTGTACATGTAAGTTACCTGGGTATGCCTGTAAGTTACTTGGGTGTTCCTGTAAGTTACTTGGGTGTACATGTAAGTTACCTGGAAAATATTAGTTTGAGCTCATCTGTTCCATGGTTGCTGTTAGCTAAATGTTTGCAAGTTTTCTCATCTTGTTTGCTATCGTCGCCATGCGATCGTCCCCGTGCATAAACCCTTTGAGAACCCTTTGATATCGTCTTATTTATGACTTTGGGCAATTCAAAAAATGACAGTTTGAACGCGTGTTGCCCAGCTAGGGGCACTGCCTTCAATATGGACACGCCCGAAAAATGGTTGATATTTGACACGCACTTTCGACCACCTTTTGTTGAACATGCTGCACCTACACCCAGGTCCTACATTTATTTAACATAACGTTGTACTATTGATTGGCAGATTTAGAAGAGGCAGACATGTTGGAATTTATTTACGCTGCACATCAGAGATTCTCAGCCTTCCTAATGCTGCGACCCTTTCATGCAGTTCTTCATGTTGTGGTAGCCCCAACCATAAAATTATGTTCGTTGCTGCTTCATAAATTATGTCGTTTTCCGATGGTCTTGGAGGACATGGCTATAAACTGTTTTGTTTTAGAGATTATGGTGCTCATACAGCTAAATATAATTCTTAGAAATTATGATGCTCACACAGGTATGAACAGTTTTGTCTTAGAGATTATGATGTTTATGTTGTAATGAACTTCAGTTGGGCTCACTCTAATATCGGGTCAGCCATGATACTATCCACTACGTCATGTATGATTGTCATGAGATTCGATATCATTAACTTGTAAGCTACAAATCCATGTGATTTAAGCATTAGTAAACATTGCCATGTTTGGTTGATTGTATTGATTTTATTGAGTGTATTGATTATAGGCTGGGAGTTCAGGCTTAAGGCAACTGGAAAAAGAAGTTTCCATATTCAAGAAAGTAGACCATAAAAACATCATCAATTTGAAAGAAGTCATTGAATCACCCAAGGTAATATGTAGTATAGTCATCATATCCCAACTGTATGTAACATAAACCCATCATATCCCAACTGTAACATAAACTCATCATATCCCAACTGTAACATAAACTCATCATATCCCACCTGTAACATAAACTCATCATATCCCAACTGTAACTTAAATGCATCATAGCCCAACTGTAACATAAACTCATCATATCCCAACTGTATGTAACATTAACTCATCATATCCCAACTGTAACTTAAATGCATCATAGCCCAACTGTAACAAAAACTCATCATATCCCAACTGTAACATAAACTCACCATATCCTAACTGTAACATAAACTTATCATATCCCAGCTGTAAAATAAACTCATCATATCCCAACTGTAACATTAAGTCATCATATCCCAACTGTATGTAACATAAACTCATCATATTTCAACTGTAACATAAACTCATCATATCCCAACTGTAACATAAACTCATCATATCCCAACTGTAACATAAACTCATCATATCCCAACTGTAACATAAAGTCATCATATCCCAACTGTATGTAACATAAACTCATCATATTTCAACTGTAACATAAACTCATCATAGCCCAACTGTAACAAAAACTCATCATATCCCAACTGTAACATAAACTCATCATATCTCAACTGTAACATAAACTCATCATATCCCACCTGTAACATAAACTCATCATATCCCAACTGTAACTTAAATGCATCATAGCCCAACTGTAACATAAACTCATCATATCCCAACTGTATGTAACATTAACTCATCATATCCCAACTGTAACTTAAATGCATCATAGCCCAACTGTAACAAAAACTCATCATATCCCAACTGTAACATAAACCCATCATATCTCAACTGTAACATAAACTCATCTTATCCCAGCTGTAAAATAAACTCATCATATTTCAACTGTAACACAAACTCATCATATCCCAACTGTATGTAACATTAACCCATCATATCCCAACTTTATGCCACATAAACTTAGAATATGCCAACTATATGTAACATAACTCATCATAACCCAACTATATGCAACATAAACTTAGCATGTTCCAACTGAATGTAATAAAAATTCCTCTAGAACTGTATTGCAAAATCATCTACTAGGCTTACAATATCAAATATCACATCATATTTGTATTCTAGATGTAGTAATAGTTGTTTTTTTAATCAGTATTGAAATGATCTGGATCTGTTTTTGATATACAGAAAATGTACCTGATCATGGAATTGTGTAAGGGAGGAGACCTGGCACGTTTGTTAAAAAAACTTGGACACTTGATTGAAGAAGATACCAAAGTGATCATGTCCAGTTTGGCTGAAGCCATTAAGTATTTGCATCAACAAGGTGGGTGCTTGAGCAAAATTAAGGCATGGCTGTTTCACACAGGCACAGTTTAAAGATGCTTGTAAGGCAATTTTTTAAACATCCTGTAACAATATATCTTCCAATGGCACTTTTCCAGATTTATTCAAATTTAGAAGTCGGCCGCTTTTAAAAAATTATCAATTTAGATATTTCCCTTGAAAAATAAAGGCCATTGGATTCTATGGATTAAAACCCAAGGTTACAAATTTTTTTACCACAGATATAAAGTAACCACTCAAACGAACATACTTTTAACATAAAAAATTGAATCTTGAAAAAGGGGTTTCAGAATCTTGAAAATTGGTCTCTGGATTTAGATTAGGGGTCTCTTAATCTTGAATAGTGGTCTCAAGTCTTTGTTTTAGAAACCTCTTATTTTATGTATTTTAAGAAATCTAAGTATACAACAAATCTATTTGATGCTTAATGTATATCTATTTGTGAACAATGATTCTCAGAGTGGTCTGTTCATGTACAAATAGATTTATTCCAAACCCATTTCCTTCAGGAATTCTTCACAGAGATTTGAAGCTTGAAAATATTTTGTTAGCAGATGAACCTACAGGCACAAACAGCATTCTGATTAAGGTAAACATTTGGTCATTTGGGATGACTTTACCATGTCCAAATATCAAACTGTTGTGCATAATTCAGATGACACATAGAGATGTCATTGGCTAACACTATTCTATATTAAATGCAATATTTTTTGCCACTGTCAGTGCTTCATTTTTGGAACGTCTGCCATTTACAATCTTTTCTATTTTTATCGATATGTGACATTTTTACAGAACATTTATTCCCATCTCTCTCTTTGTCTTTGTCAAGAGATGGTCTACCTGTTTTCTGTGGCTCTGTGTATTTCATGACAGCGCCTGGCGAGAATTATTTCTCTTTAACTTGCTCCCTGAATGGCCATTCAATCCATTTTTTCTGTTCCACAATATCCATTTTTTCTGCTCCACAAAATCTATTTTTCTGCTCCACAATATCCATTTTTCTGTTCCACAATATCCATTTTTTCTGTTCCACAATATACATTTTTTATGTTCCACAACATTCATATTTTTTTTTAAACTTTCCCACATTACTGAATATAGGATGCAGTCTGTCCCTCATAATTAAGAATCCTGAGCAAAATTTTCTTATTATAAAAAGACATGGCTGTCCCATTCAGAGTAAAGCATGGCTGTCCCATTCAGAGTAAAGCACGGCTGTCCCATTCAGAGTAAAGCACGGCTGTCCCATTCAGAGTAAACCATGGCTGTCCCATTCAGAGTAAACCATGGCTGTCCCATTCAGAGTAAACCATGTGCAATTTTTCAAACATATACCTTTTAATATCTATCAAAACTCAGACACTTCAATTTCTATATTTAAAAAAAGGATTAAAAATGTGTTCAGATTGTATTGTGTTGTTGTTCTGGTATCAATCATCATGAGATATCAGGTTAATGTAAACATTTCCTAACCTATCTAACTCCACATTTTTCTAAATTTAGATAAGTTAAAGGTAAAAGGTTTATGGAAATCCATCCCAATTGTTAAATATTCATTATGAATTTTTGAAGTTTTAGTGTTACATGTTTAAGCCTTAAAGGCTAAAGCTTTGAATATATTACCTTATTTTTTTTCAAAAAAGGAATCAGGGATATTTATGTAAGCTACCCTCCCCCGCCTCCCCCCCAACGCACCCCCCTTCCACCTTTTTTAGTGCCTCTAATTTTTCCAGAATCTGACATTTTACTATTTAAATCAATTGTTTTATTTAATTTTTTAAACCAGGTGTCAGATTTTGGCTTGTCGACTCAACAAGCAAACAATTCATTTGAAAGCATGCAAGAGCAATACTGTGGCACACCCTCGTACATGGGTATGACCGTGCAATCTGACAAGATCTTATATAAATATATCTGTGTACATCTGTCATCTTAGAGTATATATATGTACATCTAATACATTATATCATGTCTAATCTATGCACATCTATTATGTTCCAACATTTCTTCATCTATGTACATAGAATAAACTCTTACATGTCTAAATCTATGCACATAGAATAAACTCTTACATGTCTTCATCTATGTACATAGAATAAACTCTTACATGTCTAAATATGTAGATAGAATAAACTCTTACATGTCTAAATCTATGTACATATAATAAACTCTTACATGTCTAAATCTATGCACATAGAATAAACTATACATGTCTAAATCTATGTACATATAATAAACTCTTACAAGTCTAAATCTATGTACATGTAAATGGACTATAATGGACCAGAAGCAAACTGTCTAAATGCAACTGCCCATTACCTGTAACCTATAAGTAGCATCAAGTTGTTGACATAATTCAATTTGACCCCACAAAATGACTTATTTTCCTTCCATCTGCTCACCAGCTCCAGAGATGAACTCCACCTATTCCTACCCAGTGGATGTATGGGCCATGGGAGTCATCATGTATTACTTGTAAGCTAAAAACTTTTTTTTTTTTGCTTTCCAATTATTTGATGATCACCTGATCCTGTTTCCTTTATATGGCATTCATGTACTACCTGTATGTCACCTGTTTCCTCTATATGGCATTCATGTACTACCTGTATGTCACCTGTTTCCTCTATATGGCATTCATGTACTACCTGTATGTCACCTGTTTCCTCTATATGGCATTCATGTACTACCTGTATGTCACCTGTTTCCTCTATATGGCATTCATGTACTACCTGTATGTCACCTGTTTCCTCTATATGGCATTCATGTACTACCTGTATGTCACCTGTTTCCTTTATATGGCATTCATGTACTACCTGTATGTCACCTGTTTCCTTTATATGGCATTCATGTACTACCTGTATGTCACCTGTTTCCTTTATATGGCATTCATGTACTACCTGTATGTCACCTGTTTCCTCTATATGGCATTCATGTACTACCTGTATGTCACCTGTTTCCTCTATATGGCATTCATGTACTACCTGTATGTCACCTGTTTCCTCTATATGGCATTCATGTACTACCTGTATGTCACCTGTTTCCTTTATATGGCATTCATGTACTACCTGTATGTCACCTGTTTCCTTTATATGGCATTCATGTACTACCTGTATGTCACCTGTTTCCTTTATATGGCATTCATGTACTACCTGTATGTCACCTGTTTCCTTTATATGGCATTCATGTACTACCTGTATGTCACCTGTTTCCTTTATATGGCATTCATGAACTACCTGTATGTCACCTGTTTCCTTTATATGGCATTCATGTACTACCTGTCTGTCACCTGTTTCCTTTATATGGCATTCATGCACTACCTGTATGTCACCTGTTTACTTTATATGGCATTCTTGTACCACCTGTATATCACCTGTTTCCTCTAAATGGCATTCATGTACTCCCTTCATGTCACCTGTTTCTCTATATGGCATGAATGTACTCCCTTCATGTCACCTGTTTCCTCTATATGGCATTAAGGTGCTAATTGTATGTTACCTGTTTCCTCTGTATGACATTCAGGTGTGTCAAAGGTATTCTAGAATTTTACTGTAGACACATTCTTAAAGAGATTCTGTTACAATACTAAAAGACATGTTTGTCAAAGAGACTTTTTAACTTTACTGTAGACACATGTGTGTCAAAGAGATTATGTAACTTTATTTTAGACACTTTCTTAAAGAGTTAACCGGTCCATGTTATCACCACATGAATTGAATTATTAGCAGAAATTAACATGAGTGACCCCTCTTTAATGGTGTCATTCTTACATGAGTGTCCTCTATCTAATGGTGTCATTCTTACATGAGTGTCCTCTATCTAATGGTGCCATTCTTACATGAGTGTCCTATATCTAATGGTGTCATTCTAACATGAGTGTCCTCTATCTAATGGTGTCATTCTAACATGAGTGTCCTCTATCTAATGGTGTCATTCTAACATGAGTGTCCTCTATCTAATGGTGTCATTCTTACAATATTTTCTCTTAAGATTATTCTTTTATTTCTTATGAGGGTTCAGTTATGTACGTTGTTGCTAATTAAGTATCTTGTTATTGTGTACAGTAGCTAAAACAACACCAGGACCCTGGGTGGAGGCCATCTCATTAACTGTGGAAGGCTGCTCATTAACTGTGGAGGCCATCTCATTAACTGTGGAGGGCATCTCATTAACTGTGGAGGGCATCTCATTAACTGTTGAGGGCAGCTCATTCACTGTGGAGGGCATCTCATTCACTGTGGAGGGGATCTCATTAACTGTAGAGGGCATCTCATTAACTGTGGAGGGCATCTCATTAACTGTGGAGGGCATCTCATTAACTGTGGAGGGCATCTCATTAACTGTTAACAGTGGAGGGCAGCTCATTAACTGTTGAGGGCAGCCCATTCGCTTTTGATGGAACTCATTAATTGTGGATGGAAACTCATTAACTGAAGAGGGAACTCATCAAAGAAAAGGAAAACTTTGAATGAAAACCATTGGATGGAGGAGACCTGTGGGTCGTATGACATTAAATAATGATAAACCAGAATTCCTGCGATGCCACTGGTACCAAGCTTTATCCACACATGATGTTCCCTTGTGTTCACCAGATGCTTGGAGAGAGGACACTTGCTGTCAAGGCAACCAGCTTATCCTCCTGAACAAAATCCCAGGCCTTGTGATTTCATCCTGCAAAATTTGCACCATAGTCACATTGTGACCGATGCACCATAGTCACATTGTGACCAATGTGCCATAGACACAATGTGACCAATGCACCATAGTCACATTGTGACCGATGCACCATAGTCACATTGTGACCGATGCACCATAGTCACATTGTGACCAATGCACCATAGTCACAGTGTGACCAATGCACCATAGTCACATTGTGACCAATGTGCCATAGACACAATGTGACCAATGCACCATAGTCACATTGTGACCGATGCACCATAGTCACAGTGTGACCAATGCACCATAGTCACAGTGTGACCAATGCACCATAGTCACATTGTGACCAATGCACCATAGTCACATTGTGACCGATGCGCCATAGACACATTGTGACCGATGCACCATAGTCACATTGTGACCGATGCACCATAGTCACATTGTGACCGATGCGCCATAGACACATTGTGACCGATGCACCATAGTCACATTGTGACCGATGCACCATAGTCACATTGTGACCGATGCGCCATAAACACATTGTGACCGATGCACCATAGTCACATTGTGACCGATGCACCATAGTCACATTGTGACCGATGCACCATAGTCACATTGTGACCGATGCACCATAGTCACATTGTGACCGATGCACCATAGTCACATTGTGACCGATGCACCATAGTCACATTGTGACCGATGCACCATAGTCACATTGTGACCGATGCACCATAGTCACATTGTGACCGATGCACCATAGTCACATTGTGACCGATGCACCATAGTCACATTGTGACCGATGCACCATAGTCACATTGTGACCGATGCACCATAGTCACATTGTGACCGATGCACCATAGTCACATTGTGACCGATGCACCATAGTCACATTGTGACCGATGCACCATAGTCACATTGTGACCAATGCGCCATAGACACATTGTGACCGATGAATTCAAAAAAAAAATTATGTAGCTTTGTCTTCTTGATATGTCATATCTTCATATCTTTTTTTTCTGGGATTTTATTCTTATCGCCTGCTGTGGCTCTTGCTGTTAAACTTAACATCCTTACACCTTCAAATAGGTTTATTTCTTTAAATCAAAGTCATTAGCTTTAAACTGAGTTGTTTTCACTAGTATTATATGTCTCCACAGACTTACTCAATATCCTAAGGATAATGAGCTGAATGAGTCCATATCCCAAGATGGGCCCAAATTTGAAGAGCCTCAGTGGAAGAATATCAGCGATCAAGGTTTGTGTACCAGATGTTTGTGCGTTCCTTGTTAATCACTCATAACAGCTTGGCTGGCATTCTTCATTCAGGGCTTCTCACTTCTCTAGTTATCTACCTGTTCATTCAGGGCTTCACACTTCTCTCATTATCGACCTGTTCATTCAAATCAGTTTAATTTTGAAAAATAGTATATACCATAAATTTATTTGTTATTAGACATCAAGTAAAGTTTTTATAAAATCATTCTTACATGTGTAAATGTTTTTAAAATCCTGTGAAGTGGAAAACAAAGTCTTGTTAGAACAGAGGAAAGAGAATTCCTTTCAAAGCTAAGAGAATTAAAAGAATTATTTTTTCCTGCAAAAAAATTAAAAATTGGCCTTTGCATTGTGCCATGTTACCCAACAAACTGTACAGTGAGTTTCCACTAGACCAAAATGTGAGAAGCACTGAGCTTATAGATCTTGTTTGAAATGCATTTTTATATTTTGCCACTGATTTTTTTTTTTTTAAATCACTTGTGTATCTTTATATATTTTAATATTGCATTGTATTTCATGCTATAACTATAACAATGTGATAAATGACAAACATAGCTATACATCAATCTTCACGACAAACATAGCTATACATCAATCTTCATGAAGCAATGAGTTTGATCCCTGTAATTAGAAATGTGTTGTTTTGTTGGCTTTGTACAACATGTTTAAAGGGAATCATTGAGAGATCCAATCATTGAGAGATCCAATCATTGAGAGATCTAATCATTGAGAGATCAAATCATTGAGAGATCCAATATGCCGAAGGCGGTCAGTCTCACACTCTTAGGATCTTAAATTTCTTGTGTGCAATGAGTCTCGCAAGTTTACTGGGTGTTTATATTTAGTCTGATGAAGACCAGGTCGGGTCTTAGGACACTTTGCATATTGGCCTTTTCCTTCAACTGACATTGAAAAAAAAGCTAATGGATGACAAGTTTTTAATCTGACCTACTGGCTGCCATGGTTCATCTGTTCAAAGTATTACACTGGAAGTCAGTCTAGTTTTTTTTAAAACCTTTTCATGTGATGACCACCTTAAACCAATGACAATTCCGTCTTGCCTCTCTCCATCACTCATCACCATCATTGTTTGGAATAAATGATAGCCCACAATAAGATTTTATTTTTCATTAATTGGCCAACCAATTGAATAGGAATTAATGACATCACAATTCAAATAATAATGTTTAATAATAAAATAATTTTAAACAATTTGCTGTCACTAACAAATGAAAAAAGTTGAAATTTCCAAAATTGTTATTTGACCGGCATAATAATACTTTGAGGTTCATAAATTCTAGTTCGTGAACCACTGTTAACTTGAGGATTTGAAATAGAAGGTACCCATTTTTTATGCTGTTGAATTATTAGTCCCAAAGGAGTCTTACTAATCTGGTAGGAGATAATCATCTTACACAAGTGCTATTAGGAATGAGACTTTGAATCATGACCGAGTCAAATATCTTTCTGCGGCCAATGTCCCATGTACTGCTGATGTCAAATTTGTTGCTAATGTCCCATGTACTGCTGATGTCAAATTTGTTGCTAATGTCCCATGTACTGCCAATGTCCGATTTACTGCCGATGACACATGTACTGCCTCACTGCCAAGTTTTTCCTGGCATGCTTTAGCTAGCCTTAGCCTCACGGGGTAGTAGTGTTTATTGTGTGAATCACATTTCAGCTAAAGACCTTCTCCGAGCCATGTTAAACAAAGATCCCGCCCACAGATTATCATCTGGTGAAGTGCTGGGCCATGAGTGGTTCACGGTAAGATAAAATTTTCATCTTATTGTAGCACTCTTGGTGTTTCAAAGGTACGTTCACACTGTAGATGTGTTACTGACTTTCTCTGATTTTTTCAACCATGTGCTATTTACTGTAACAAAAACGGGATAACTAGTTTCCATTTCACCGGTTTGTTGAGAGTTGCGCATTTTGTCAGCTGGCAACTTGCAGACACAGTGCCATCATATTTTTATCAATGTGCATGTGTTGTCATTAGCTGTTTACAATTTTAAATTTTACATTGTGTTCAGTAGTAGCCCTACCGGTGGGTATATTTTATAGATGGAAGATTAAAATTTGTTTGATTTTATTGGAGCGGGCAAGAAAAGAAAAGATTTTAGAGGAACTATTGATAAGTTGAAATTTTTTTGTGTGTTAATTTTACTTTTTAATTGTGGGTGGTTATTAGTAAAATTAAATAAAAAGAAAAAATCCAATTTATTTACTTAAGAGCCCCATCAGCTGCAGGTTGCAGGACCATTGAGCTTGAACATAGATTTAAAATAGATATAAACAAAAGTTCTGCATCAGATCCCATTGCTGTGCCAGCTCAGTGTCAACCCCTATGAGGGATTTCTGTGTCAGTGGATTCTCAACATGGATTTACCACTGGGATTTGTGATGGCAACAAATCCACAGTTTGAACGTACCTTTACAGCATTATATGTTAGATAGTATGTTTTTTTAGAATAGTTTTTCATATTTAAAGTAAATAAATTAAATTATGTAAATCTTGAAATCTTTAGAATTAAAGAGTTTATTTGGAAGTGGAAGACGTATTTATTTATAGCACCTATAAATTATTAATCAATCTCAAAATAAAAAATAATTAATATTTCTGTTAATTTTAACCTTGTAACCTGAACTATTTCTAACAAATCTCTTAGCACTTAAAATTATCCAATTTTGATTTTATCCAAAGGTTTATAGCCAATAGGATACTCTAAATGACCAATCACATGATCAAAAGGGGTGTAATAGTTAATTATAAAAACGATTTTAAAGCAATAATAGATTTTTTCCAAAAGGTATCATTTCACTCTACCTTTACCTACTCATACCACCAACTGCAATTCCTATACAGTCGAACCCATATATCTTGACCTTGGTTAACTCACCAACCCTACTAAATCGACGTTTTTAAAGTGGATCCACCAATTTTCTCTCTCTGTATCTTACCATTTTCTCATCAGTTATGTCGATTCTTTTATGTGCCGAACCCTAATATCTCGAGCACAGTTTGCCACTTACTGTCAGTTATCTTGATCTCCATGAGCAATCGCCGGCTTTTGAACTCCATAAGAAGAAATAGCAAACATCAAATAAACAAGATTTGCATAATTTAAAGCTCATGAAATTCATACACTGTAGAAATAATTTCTTGTGCAATGATTACATCATGTATGCATATATTTATCAACAATATCGTTGTCCGCGCAAGTAACTTGACACAGCAAGGAGCAAGATGCTTACAAACAAAAGTGAGAGGCTTGCAAACAAAAGCAAGAAAATGCAGTACCTGTTCTATTTTTTGCGAACCCGCTTCTCACTGAATAGGCTTTCACGCATTCTTACACATTGATTTTTTTTTTAACCCAGAATCTGTAGTTGAATAATCTGGAAAAGTGGCACCCCCCCCTACAAGTGTATGTAAATTCTCATTTATAAACGCATATCATGTATGTAAAGAAATTTCAAGCACATGTTAATATATTGCCACCTTATTGGTTTTCGTTTATCTCAATGATCGGCTATCTGGACGCTTTTTGGCAAACCCCTAGGCCTGCGACATAACGGGGTTCGACTGTACATCTATCTTGCTGTGGATTCTGAGCATATTTTAGTGTCAGTTTTTCAAATTATTTTACATTATCATGAAAAGAAAAAAAAAATGTTGACATCATACTTAGGTTTAAGGAATGAGAAAACTACATGCTGGAATCAAATCCTAGAACTGGGAATATTGAGCGAAAAAAAAAAAGGGGGGGGTGAGTCATTAACAAAAGGTTTCATAGCTGCAGTTCTGGGTATTTTTGCATTTTCCAATGACTATTTATAAAATGTTATCCACAATATCATTACCAAAACTAAACATATTCCTTGTTGACTATGACAAATTATCTTACGGTCCGAAGAGGTACATGTTTCTTCTTTGCTTTCTAGGGAAAGAAAAAGGAGCATGGGAATGTTCTGGAACTGATGAAGGAATATGGAAGGGAACAGAAGGAAAGTGGAGGAAGTACGGCATCGTCTACTGATGGAGAGAGCCTCAAATCAAGTGCAATAAATGGATTGAGTCAAAAGTCTGATCCTTCACCTGTTGTAACAACCAAGGTGTGTAGTTGTCATTATAATATTCTAACAACCAAGGTGTGTAGTTGTCAATATTATAGTCTAACTTATAAGTCATTAGTCATTTGCAGTCTTTAGTTTTATAATTATTAGCATGTATGTTGATAATCAACTTACTTTTCCCTGGCAATAGCTTACGTACTATATGCATGGTATATGCATGGTACATGCTTACTGTACACTCCATATATTTTATGTCATTTTTACAGAGAGAACCAAGAACAGGTTCAGGTAACAAGAAGCCATCTTCTGGTGATCAAAGGAAATCAGTCACCTCTACTGTATCCAGTGCCAATGTGAGTTCCTTCACTTCATTTTAAGACTATCTTTCATAATAATGTAGTAGTTGATTGATGTTGTTTAGATAAAATATTTATTACTATAAACAAACGAAGTAGCTATTCGTACCCGGGTACCAGAAGTGAGAGGTTGGGATTAAAAAACTATTTAAAATATTATTGTTGGTTTTGTAAGAAAAAATGAGGTATCAAATGAAAGATAATTGAATGTACTAAATGTGTGTACACTTACTTCTTTAGTTTAACTACCACAAATGACATCTGAATGGCATTTAGTCAAAATGGCCCCGGACACGCAGCGCCGCCATTCGCACCCGGGTCCCATTAGACAATATTTTTAACACCCATTTGCCACAAACAGATTTTTATTTGTTTTTGTGGCCAAAGTGTGCCAATGAGCTGAATAGGATCGACCACATCACTAAATGATATTGCTATGTAACAAAACATTTTTAATCAATGCTTGTTTTATTAAACATCCTCAACTACTACAGACAAAGCTTAAAGTGACTGGTTCCCCGTTTGGCTCTCCAACAATCCGTCCTGCCAACAAAACTCCAAGGTCAGTCATGGAACCATCCAACAAGCTGAAAACCATGAGTACCAGCACTGCAAGTAATAAAACAAGTGTGTCAAATGGACCGCCCAAGAAAACTCCATCAGACGCAACCTCAAGAACTGCCTTAACACTCAAAACCAAGAAAAAATGACAGTTGCTATTTTTTTGTTACAAAATCAAATTGCAATGCATTATATTTTTTTAAATTTTATTTTTTATTTTTTTTTTTAAATGAAGAAGAAAAAAGAAAGGAACTTAAGAATGATATCTCTGTTATTAGTTAATGTTGTTTAGTTGTTTTTGTTGAACCAAATGGTTAGAGAGTCCATAAATTAACATATGTTTCAAACTGTGGTTTTTATTGCTTATCAATGTCTTCTTTAATAAATGCTTTGAGTCATGTTTGATTTTTTTTTCTTTTAGCTGATGCTGAAATGTCCTATTGTTGTAGGCATTCAAGTGGGCACATTCAATAAACTGATAGAAAGTTTCATTTAGGTGCTAAGTTTGCAAAAGAAGTACTTCAAAAAGATTCAGAGGTCTAGCTGAAGAACACTGTGATAATTGTTTTAACTAGTTTTCTTTAGTTTGGGTAATGAAGGTTTTGTTTACCATACTTCTACGCATACAGTACATATGCACCAGTGTAAATCAATGTTTTAAATCATTTAGATAACAATGTTTATTCATTAAATTTTCACTGCAGTTTAAGAAATGTCACTACATCCAAACTCCAACTTTCTAGAAAAGAAATTTGATTGTGGATTTTGAGATGTGCTGAAATATTTCAAATAGCTGAAAATGGTAAATGGAGGCTTGAAATAGAAAAACAGGACGAATGAAGAAAGCTGATGAAGGCTCTTAGCTAAAACATTCTTCTTAGAGTTTCATGTCTTTCTATTTCAAGCTTTTGTGTTCCTTTTTCTGCTATTTCCTTCACACAGCTTGAAGCCAGTCTTTCATTTATTAAAATATTTCAACATATAGTTAAGATATAATACAGGAACTTTTTTTTGCCAGTTCTTTTGGGTGTAGATTTTTTGTAGATAATGTCATCTATCTGCTCCTCCTGCTATTATATTTAAGTAATTGTAACTGAAAATTTTAAAAATTTAGTATTTAAAAAAAACAGATGCAATAATAGTCTATAGATTACATCGACCTTTTGACTTTTTGTGATACGTGAAAAAAATCAAACTCACTTGTGACTTTTAGTATTGTCTCCTGTTGAACGTTGTTTTTAATTTCAATGGAATTAACACACTAAACTTGCTTGGTAGTCAGCACAGTTAGTTTCTTTGATAAAGCAACATATTTTTTTTTTTAGGAACATAGTTATCGGTAACAAAATTTGTTGCTTTTAATGTGTGCAGAGTCTTCTTGTACTGTTTACATCACAGCTAGTAGGCTGAAGAAGGAAAATGTGTATGAAAAGAGCTTTCAGGCTATGGTACTAATTATGTTCAATGTTTTATCTGTCAACAATTCCTGCTTTCCTGTTTTAAAAACCTTCTTTTGACCAAAAATGTAATGTTTGCAGCACATCTCCTAGAGCTTAGTTTAGTTTATAGCACTTTGGGTTTATAGTCTTAAAAAACTGTTTATTCCATATTATATGTGTCATATTTAACAAATTAAGAACAGTTTGAAACTGAATAACATTGTCCTACATCAGAGGCTGTTAAACTTTATAAAATCTGAAGACTCAATATTATTCTTTTAATGAAAAGTGACTATAAAATAAATATTCTTGCTTCCTTGACCATTGACAACAGGTAAATCTCTTTTAGTTTTGTCATGCAGGCCATCTGTGTTGATATCATGCTATTTCCAGAACTTATGGTACATTTCTTTTTTTAGAAAAGAACTTGGTAACAATGTTAGATTTACCAATTTTAGAAATACGGTCATGAATTTTTTTTTCATATATCTGTTATATTTCTAATGATTAAAAAACATGATAATGGGCTCACATCTATGATTAACAGTTACAAATTTTATGATTTTTTTTTTGTATTGAATGCAGCTTGTAAAATAATCTGCTGGAGTGTTGAGCTTTGAGAAGATCACACTCAAATTGTTTTGTTCCCTTGTGATATTTCTAAATATTACCTATGTAATGTATGGAGCCATTTTTAGAAATTCCTGCTGTCAAATGAGTGTTATTTGCCAAAACTACACTGTAAATAGATAAATATATATATATATATATAAAAATATAACATGTTTTGAAAAAAGTATCTAATATATTTTTTGGCACTCATTACATCAACAACTGCTGATTACTGTGAATTAACCCCAAGTCTCAAATCAGCAAAGTAAGCCCATGCCCACCAGCTCTATCTCTTTCTAGTAACCCAGTTGTCTCGTTTCATTTTAAGTTAGCTTACAACCAAAATTAAAGCAACTGACTGAGTCTTTTCTTAGGATGTTGAAAGGATGTTAATATTTTGAAATTCCCTTCATTTAGATACAGCTGCCAGGTTTTAGAACTGGTCTGTGGGCGAATTGTTATGGTTTAGGACTTCTGTGTTTGACAATGTGATTTGTGTTTTCACCATTGATAGTAATTGAAAATCTCTTCATATATTTATTAAAGACAAACGGTTGAGGTGCTTAAAATCCCAAAGTATCTTTATTTTTTATTTAAATAGCTATACACATTTTTTATTTTTAAAAAAGAAGAAAGAAAAAAGTGCACTCTTGAACCTTGTGATAATTAAACAGAAAATGTTTGTTTTTTTTAAATAAAATTGCAATCAGAATTTCCTGTGCCAGGTGGGCTAATTAAACCATCTTTAGCAAACTAATGCATTCCATAAATTATCTTTTCTTTTCATCAGCCAAAATGTTGGGTTTGATCAATAATGTAATACATAAAATCAATGTTTGATTTTAAAAGTTTGTAGACCTTAGCTTAAGATATATAAATTTAAAAAAATATTTTTTGTATTTCATCCAAATATTAAAACCACAAATATATTTAACATGAATTATTAAATTATGATTTTGTAACCTGCTGTGAAGCTTTCAGTAAATGCATTTTCACTGCTGGTGACACTTAACATGTGACAAAGTGCCACTTGCAAAGTCGTCACAGTAATTGAATATGTGGGACAAAATGCCACTTGTACAGTTGTCACAGTAAATGAGTGTGTGGGACAAAGTCATCACAGTAATTGAATGTGCGGGACAAAGTCATCACAGTAATTGAATGTGCGGGACAAAGTCATCACAGTAATTGAATGTGCGGGACAAAGTCATCACAGTAATTGAATGTGTGGGACAAAGTCATCACAGTAATTGAATGTGTGGGACAAAGTCATCACAGTAATTGAATGTGTGGGACAAAGTCATCACAGTAATTGAATGTGCGGGACAAAGTCATCACAGTAATTGAATGTGTGGGACAAAGTCATCACAGTAATTGAATGTGCGGGACAAAGTCATCACAGTAATTGAATGTGCGGGACAAAGTCATCACAGTAATTGAATGTGTGGGACAAAGTCATCACAGTAATTGAATGTGTGGGACAAAATGCCACTTGTACAGTTGTCACAGTAAATGAGTGTGTGGGACAAAGTCATCACAGTGATTGAATGTGTGGGACAAAGTCATCACAGTAATTGAATGTGTGGGACAAAGTCATCACAGTAATTGAATGTGCGGGACAAAGTCATCACAGTAAATGTATGTGTGGGACAAAGTCATCACAGTAATTGAATGTGTGGGACAAAGTCATCACAGTAATTGAATGTGTGGGACAAAGTCATCACAGTAATTGAATGTGTGGGACAAAGTCATCACAGTAATTGAATGTGAGGGACAAAGTCATCACAGTAATTGAATGTGAGGGACAAAGTCATCACAGTAATTGAATGTGTGGGACAAAGGCATAACAGTAATTGAATGTGTGGGACAAAGTCATCACAGTAATTGTATGTGTGGGACAAAGTCATCACAGTAATTGAATGTGCGGGACAAAGTCATCACAGTAAATGTATGTGTGGGACAAAGTCATCACAGTAAATGTATGTGTGGGACAAAGTCATCACAGTAATTGAATGTGTGGGACAAAGTCATCACAGTAATTGAATGTGCGGGACAAAGTCATCACAGTAATTGAATGTGTGGGACAAAGTCATCACAGTAATTGTATGTGTGGGACAAAGTCATCACAGTAATTGAATGTGTGGGACAAAGTCATCACAGTAAATGTATGTGTGGGATTTGAGAAGGTTTTGCTTGTTTTTGTTACATTTTAATATTGTTTGTACAAAGTGTTAAATGATAAAAAAGAATTCTGGGGAGAACAGAAGTCTGTTGCTTTTCCATTTCTTTTTCCGTTATGTACATGTTTGGGAAACTCATAATTTGTAATCAGTGGGGTTCAAAACACTTTTACTTACTGATGCAGTGTTCTTATGTGTAATAAATTTGTGAATGAACAAGGACCAATTAAGTTTCGCATGCAGTCATATATTTATTTTGCTGCTACACTATCATGTGCAGTTGAAAAATAGTTATAGATTTAATTATAACTTTATCTTACCCCTAAATAAAATTATTTTTTTTAAATAACATGGCAAAAGTTGTTTAAATTAGTACTAGGGAGTCCACAAAGCGTTTAGTATTGTTCCATGGAATTTATTTATTGCTAATGTCTGTTTATAAAAACTAACTCAGTTGAAAGTAAGGATATGGTAAATGTCAATAACAAACACTGATTCAACTGATAATAATTGACTGACCTCAAAAAGAAATAAAGAAAACTATTTACTGGGATGATAAAGAATGATATTTAATTGATAAATGCTGCATAAAATAAAAAAATGATGATGTATCAATTAATACAATTCCATGCATTAGCTGAATTTAAAAAATATGAGCTACAGCCTCTCCTATTTTATTTCCACATGCACACAAGCTTGTTATGAAAGTGCTTTATGTGTAAATTATAGTAAGAAGTGTAATAAATCTATTAACTTAACATAATCTTTCAACATAAAAATATTGGTCATTTAATGGGAACACATACATTTAAAAGCTTCATCACTGAGTTACACAGAGTAGCAATGAGAAAGATTATATTTTGTTAAAAATGAAAAATCAATTTTTTATTTCTCCCTTTATATATAACTTCTTATTTTAAAACAAAAATTCTTTAACTTGTGACATCTGTTAGCAGTATGGTGCATCATAGAACTCTTCAGACTCATTTAAAAACATTTATGTCAAAGTCAAAGAATTCCATAAGCTTTTTGTGCATGTTGCAATTATTTTTAAATAAATTTAATGAAAATTCAAATATAACGTACTTTCCTTTATTGACTATACGGTGTAAGATAAACACACTTAACTTCTTCTTTATAATTACTTACGAAAAAACATTTAATTTTTAGAACCACATACGGACTTGTTTTAAACATAAACTATTTTTTGTTTATTTCTAAATATGTATGTTATAATCAGTTTAAATTATTTTTTTTCAATGAAAAACTCAACATCAATTCAGTTCAGTAATCCCACCAATGTAATTTACTTCTATGTAATTAAGAAGATTTTAAAAGAACAAACTTGTTTAATTTATTTACAAGTAAATATATCTTTCTTTATTTTTATTTTGTACTTTTCAATTAAAAAGAATCATTTAGAATCTTTACTAAATATCTAACAGAGGTTTACTTGTATAAGAACATCAACAAAGTGCTTTTATTCATTAAAATTACACTGAGCTGAGTATATTAGTTTCTTCTGTAATTTTTGGTGTTAAAAAAAAAGTAAATGCAATCTACACCAACTCATATACAGACTACAACAAACTACCAAAAAATAGAATTGAAACTAAAAATAAATAATTTTGTTTATGAACTGTCTTTTGAGCATTTCTTCTTTTTCACCTCAGGCTCTGGTGAATCTTCATTTGAGTTATTTTCATCCCCTTTTCCACCTTGGCTTTTTTCATTTATTTTAGTGACACTGCTCTTTCTACTTGCATCTTTTTCTTCATCTCCGGCATTTTCTTCCTCATCATCATCTTCAGCTTTATCTTCTTCTGGTTTAGCAACAACTGCAGATTCTTCCTCCTCTTCATTTTTAGTTTCCGGATCTGATTCAGATTCTGGGCGATAGCCGAGGCCTAAATGACCTCTTTTACCGCTAGCCAATCGATGCTCCAAACTCTGCTCGTATTGCTCGGCCAGATCATCCTCTAAATGCTGTTCTTCTCTCCCTTGAAGTTACAAATAAATAATTTTAAGCAGAAACCATTATTCAATAATAACTATCTTAGTCACAAGTATTTGATTTGGTTCAGTTGAAGCTTTTTGTAATGGTGGTCAAGAAAATAGCATGTCATTTCTAATTTTATGCAGTAATTTTACTTGTAGCTATAATCGCTTTGTTTTTTAAATGGGTTCTTAATTTAAGTGGAGATGGGGGTGTCTTAGAAGGAGAGATAATTTTGTAAGGGGATTTAACACTGTAAGAAACTCAACTTGAAATACCAAAGCGTTATTAAGTTATTGTAAACAAGCTTAAAACTTATCAGTGAAAAATTTGTTTTTTTTATCTAAACCTTCCTAATTATTTTTTTAAAGTACCAGCATTTTCTTTACTTTATTTTTGGAAGTACTGTGGTGCTAGGAAGTCAGTAGTGTGGGGCTAGGAAGTCAGTAGTGTGGTGCTAGGAAGTCAGTAGTGTGATGCTTGTGAGGTGTTACCAGCATTGTGTATCTAAATATTAAGTTATTGAATTTTATTTTTAAAATTTATCTAACTTATGCAGAAATTAGAAAATAGTCCAGTGAATGAATTAAAAAGGATTTCACATTTAAAAAGTTTCCTTACTTCCTCTCTTGTGGGCTAGACTTGGGTTATGGTCTCCAATTACAATTTTTCCATGGTGTTCTTTCTGTAAATGATTTTTTTTTAATAATGATATAATGAATAAAACAAATAATCTGTAAAGTAATTAATTAATTTCATGAATGTATCAAATTTTCAGTCCATTAAATAATCTAATATTGCTGCATAATGCATCTTTTTAATTAAATTACAATCATTTTAGAACATAAAAACTATCAACATACCATTTGTTGTCTATTTTACAAGAGCAGAAGCTGAACAACATTTGTCCTACATTGAAGAGCCACTTTGCAATGCCAATCATTGGATTTTAGATTGTATGAAGGAAACTTAATCTATATGTAAATGTTCTAAGCATGTTGACTTGTTGTTTCAACATTATAAGAGATATAAAACTTTTTGTCCAAACTAATATGAAGTTGAACCAACCTTTGCTGCACCCATGAGTCTTAGGAATTTTTCATTGCGCTGTTTGTCACCTAGATCAGCTGTTTCCCAACTGTTGGCAGAATGAACCTGAAAAAAATATTTTGACTTTTAAGCTATTTAAACATTGGGATGCCTCTTTCAAATCATGATGGCTCTTTGTCCTATAAGAGCCTATAGATATTTTTTTTTTTACAAGTAAGAAACCTTTGAGTTTATAAAGAAACATAGCATTATAGTCATAGACATCATTAACAACAAATTTAAAGTGTTTAAAACAAGGATCATCATAAAGTGAGTAAAAATAAAAATAAATACAATTTTGATCTATAATTGAACCAGTTCAATGGACAATTAAAAAAAGGTTTCATTTTACTAATAATTTTGCATTGTTTCATAATATTATTGTGAAACTATTCATAATTTTAGTAAAGACATTGTCATAACAATTCATTAACTAATGTAATAAAGTAGCCAGTGGCACAAGCACAAGTGAAAATCTACTGACCACTTTAATGAAAATACAAGAGTTAATTAAGCAACTTTAAATTAGATTCTTTCTAAACAAAAACCTGTGTAAAAATATTCATCAACTATTATTCTAGTTCATTCTGGACTTCATAGTTTCTTTTGGTAATATAAATATAATATTAAACCTGTTTATGTTTATTATTTATTAAAATTCTATACCGTTCCACAATCAAAAGCAGATGTTACATGGTTAATTTTTATGGCAGTAGTAACATTACTTAAGTGTTGCTTAACACTGCCAAATATCAAAGGAGCCATGTCTTTACACTGGTCTGGATTATGGAGGCTCAATCTGGCTTACTTCATGTGTTTATTATTACCGTTTGTACATGTTCATAAGCCTGTTGATAAGCTGACCCCGTTGTTTCCGCCAGAGTGTAACCCGCTCATTAGCGAACCCCCATAAAATAATATGCCAGTAGAAGCAATAGGGTACTAATAACTAAAGAAAATTATTATTTTTTTTTTAAATCCAAACTTTTACAAATAGTTATTGTGTAAGTTAAGACTTAAAAACTTATAAAATACCGTACAGTATTATGTATAACAAAGGTTATCACTTCTACCTGTCGATACAGCTACCATAGTGAATATTTCCAAAAATAGAACTTTGGTGATCTACATTAATCAATGTAGGGACTTTGATAGCCATCAATGTAGGTACTTTGATAGCCAATCACAGCAGTCGCAAAAAGAGAGCAAAAGTCTGACCCTATTTTTCACACAGCTTTTTATTTACTTCCGTTAACTACTTTTTTCATCATTGTTTTCTACACCAATAATAGAATCAATATACCTGGGGAAGATGACAAAAATCTCCAATAACCCATTCAAAAGTAGTCCATCCCACTTATTCCCCTGAAATATTTCCCAAAAAGTGTGGGTTATGAACCAGTATATATTGCTATAGTTCTGTATTTTCAAAAAAGTTTTAAACATATTATAATCCCCTCACCAATTTAATGAAGCTCTTGAGAAATAAAACTCAAAATAGTTTGTGATGCAAATAGTTCATATGTACATTGTATTAATATACCAAACAACAGGTAGGAGATCTACCGACTGTGGTAACGCACATGCCAACATGTAAATAAATGTATTGATAAAAGAAATTTTGAAGACTAATACTTGACTTTCAGGTCATATTATTCAATGATTAAAAACTATGTGGCTACAAACCCCAAAGGACCAAGAATTGCCATTGCCTTATTCTAAATTGTCATGCTTTTAATACATGACAACCTAACATGGTTTGTGAAATATCCAAGTTGTTTTAGAAGTACCGGTTGCAAATAAGGTATTTCGTGTGTTTCTGAAGTACCGTTACCTAATTAAGTATCTCGTGTGTTTCTGAGGTACCGTTACCTAATTAAGTATCTTGTGTGTTTCTGAAGTACCGTTACCTAATTAAGTATCTCGTGTGTTTCTGAAGTATCGTTACCTAATTAAGTATCTCGTGTGTTTCTGAAGTACCGTTACCTAATTAAGTATCTCGTATGTTTCTGAAGTATCGTTACCTAATTAAGTATCTCGTGTGTTTCTAAAGTATCGTTACCTAATTAAGTATCTCGTGTGTTTCTGAAGTACCGTTACCTAATTAAGTATCTCGTGTGTTTCTCTATGAAAGAAACAAAACAAAAGTCAATTAGAAATTTATAGATGCTTTGGGGTTTTGTGGCAAAGCAATTTTAGTGGTTCCAAATACACATTGATTTAATATTTGTATGATCCCAAAAGTAAAGACAAAATCAAGTGGTCCGTTGTGTAAACATGCATTGCACAATTCTTTTAGTTGTAAAATTAAGGCTAAAATAAGAATTAAGGTGTGTTCTTTTGAATATTTCATGTGTTTTGAACCTTTCAAGCAAAATTTTGTTATTTTTTACTTTAAGTAAAGAAGATCTGCATAAGTACATTGATGCAATAATGAACACAAATTTTGAAACGCCCTTATCCATACTGATTGAATGTCATATTGACATAATAGATAGGCGATATTTATTATTTATGGTTAAGTTAGTGCCTTTCTAAATTAAATTCAATCAATCTGGGCATAAAATTCAATAGTAAGGTAATTATTAATACTTATTTTCATTGACATTAGGCCTACTCATTTTGTAACTCAGAATGAATATGAAAAATGATCATTTCTTTAGTTTAGACTTTAGAAGACCAGTAGTAGTAATTATTGGGTACCTGTAGCCTTTTATATACTAGTATAACTTCATTATTGTTTGGGGCGGTAATTTGCTGTTTGCCTATACTATTATTATACTCAAATAATTAGGACCTAGGCTGGTAAACTAGTTAATAGACTAGGTTAACTGGTTAACAAAACTACAGATAGCACTAGTGGCTGTAGGAAGTCTAGAATTGTAAATTGAAATAATAAAGTGTGGCAGTGGGGTACATCTTTAGCAATTTAATCAAATGTGGGACTAGACTAGTAATGGCATTGGGGCTGAGGCCTAAATTATGATATTAAATTTATTATGCCTTAACTTAACTAGTAAATAGTAATAGGGCTATTGAATTAAAGTAGTCATAGTCACTGATAGATCATAATAAACTTGGCTAGGCTATATAATTTATTAATAATTATATTATTAGCCTATCCTAATTAACTGCATTAACTAGGCCTAATACTATTAATTTTAAATTCTCTTAAATGGTCATATCCCATGATATGCTATACTCATTTGATAACAATGCTAATAATAGCCTTATGAAAAATTCCCTATTCACTCAAAATTTAATTTTGATTTGATTGAAATTTTTTAAATTACACTAATGTGAAAAATTAATTTAATCCATGACTACAGTGTGAATTAGCATTAAAGAAAAAAAAAGGAAATTTATTGTTAAATCACCCGAATTATTTATTTTTTTTTAAAATTATTTATTATAATCTCACTAAATCAAAATCCAGATTCATTTTCTGGTGGTAAATTTCATTAATAAATAATAAGGTACTGCAAATTTTGACCATGAATTTTCTGTTTATCTTCATGGCTACAATCTCAGCAAAGTCCCTTTCTATTTAAATTTCTACAGCAACAAGGCATTGTTTATTTAGTACCACATTGTGTGAACAATCATCTGATGACTCTATCATTAATCAATGAATAGATCATTGTCAGGGTATTTGCCAAAAAGACATTCCTGTTTGGAAAGGGATGTGGATGCAGGGGTCGCAGTCTATGCACAGATAAGTGGTTCTCTTCATATAAAAGATGTTACCAGTTACCAGCATTTCATTTTGTGAATCAGAGTTGGAAATTTGTGTTGTTGATTTGAATAACTATCTTTGTGAAGTTTGCGAAAATGCTATGATTCTCAATCCAGAGATTCTAGCCCATCCTAATTGTACTGATGAAATTGATGACAGCCTGTTTAAATGAGTTTTACCACAACAAGAGGTATTTGGTGGCATTAGCCACGAAACAGGTGAATTTTTCCTGTTTATGGTGTCATATAGGACAGATGCAACAGTGATACCCATAATTATAGCAATCATACTTCCCGGTGCAACAGTTATTTCAGATCAATGACGTGTGAACAATGCCATTGGGACACTTCCGGGCCTTAACCATCTTAAAGTTTAAAGTTAAAAACTCTGTTAACTATGTTGATCCTAACACTGGTATGAGCACAAAAGAGAACCTGGAAAGCACCTAAAGAGAGCAAAAAGCGCCATAACGATACCCATGGGCACATATTAGATTCCTATGTGTCAGAAATATGTGTGGAGGAATGGGGTTGAAGTACATCAAGAAAACACTGATATAATTTTTCAGAACATCTATTGGCCACAAATTCAGTAAAAAAAAAAATGTTCAGATGACATTTCTAAAAATATCTCTATCATTTAATTATAATTAAAATCGTTTTTGAATAAACATTTATTTTTTGTTATTATTGAAAAGATTATTTATACAAAATGGGTCATCTACGCTTGACAGTAATGACAGTTCCTCCCCAAAGTTTCTGTGCATGAGTAAACTCACATTTGTTTAGAGTTTAGTCACTGCATGTTACTAAGAGTTAACTATTCTCTTTTTTTTTGTATTAATACGCAGATGGAATGTATTTTGCAATTAATATTTCACAGTGAAGTTAATTAATAACCAGTATTTGAAAACAAGACACTCGTTTCTGCCTGTAAAAATCTGAAATCTGAAGTATTTTATAAATGGATTTTTATATTATTGATTTGTTTTGGATTTTATTTATGATGGAACCTGTGATTAAGTGTGTAAAAGTATATTTGATTCAACTTTAATTTAGCTTTTCATTAATATTTCTTAAGTGGTTTTAATTTAAAACATAAATATTTTTATTCAAATTTATGATTTTCTCACAATAATGGTTAACTGTAGCCTGTAGCACATGAACACATGGTTTTATGGTTCAGGTTAGCTCTAGACCTAGTGACAAATTTTAATTTTAAAGATTTACGTTCCAGTTTGGGAGACTGATTTTAGGTTTGAAGATTTAAGTTTGAGACTGATTTTTGCGCTAGAGATATTTGGTGTCCAGGTTTGAAATTTGAAGACTTTTCACAAATAAATATTTTAGTTCATTAATTTTTTTTCAATTTATTATTTAAATCTCTTTAATACTATAATTTTTATTTTATGCATCATAAGATTTAAAAAAAAAAAATAATAAAATAATGTTGTTGTTTAAAAAAATAAACTAGATCTAATTCTCATCATTTTCCTTATTTTCATTTGTCTCTGTAAAAAGTAGCTTAAGATAATCTACCACTTGAGCGTCGGCCAAGAAAAAATCCAGCTGTTCCGGTTGGAAGGGCTATTTTAACAACTATTCTTATATTATTTTTAATGACATTGGTTGTACGTATTCATTCCCATAATAATAGACAATTTTTTTAAAATAGAAAAACTATAAAAATTTTTTTGAAATAGAAGATAATGTGTGAAAATGGAATTATGCATAGTTATCCCCCAAGTTGACAATGAAGTTTAAAAAAATATAATTTTCACGAAAACGGTAGTGGTACATGAATCCATGTAAATGTGAAGGGGAAAGATCACTGGCGCTTCTTGTGCCAAACTGTCTTTTCAGTTTATGCTTTCTGAGCATTCACGTTTTCCACATGGGAAGCGTTATACGCAGTCGACTGCGCATAACCCTGAAAGTTATTCCAGCCGACTGCGTATAACTCTCAGGGTTATACGCAGTCGGCTGGGAATTTAGCCAAATAATGTTTATTACCGTGAAACCGCTAGTTTGGCAATTTCAAAAAAAAGTATTATGCGTAATTAGCCGCGTTATGGGTTGTTTTGAACTAAAACTTTTAATGTGTTTAACGTAAGACGTAAAATTTTAATTGAATTAATTTTAATTAATTTTGAATAATAGTAATAGTATTAGTGCTATTATTAGTATTATTTCTTGTATCTTATAAATTATCATTATAAGTCTAATTCAAAGTCTAAATTTCTTAGGGTCTAAGACTAAGAAGATGATTATGCCTTAATGCAGCGGTTCTCAACCTGTGGGTCGCGACCCCTTCGGTGGTCAAATGACCGTTTCCCAGGGGCTGCCTAAGACCATCGGAAAACACACACGCTCAAAAGTTACGAAGCAGCAACGAAAATAATTGTGTGTTTGGGGGTCGCCACAACGTAAGAAACTATATTAAAGGGTCGCGGCATTGGAAAGGTTGAGAACCACTGCCTTAAGGCATTTCCTTGGTTTAAATCTAGTTCTGTATTCAGATTGATTAGGTTTTTATATGTTGCTATGACTATGTGGTTGGTTTCACTGACTAATTCAGGAAATACATTTTTTTTTTTTTTTTTTTTTTTTTTTTTTTTTTTTTTTTTTGGGGGGGGGGGGGGGGTTGACCTAAATGTAACAGTTTTCAGCTTCCATGCAAAACTATAACTGTGTGAAAGTATTACTTACAGTGCCCCCTCTACAGAACCCCTTGCCCCTACAGCTATTTTTTTCTGCTACTCTCCACCCCTGATTATAATTCTAATCATGTTTTAACATTTTTTAGCCAAAACAAAAGTGAAATAATTAACCGAGCTGTTGGTTCATTCCTCGCGAACAAACATAAAAACTAGCACATATCATTCAATCTTGACTGGCCCTTGGTTGGAATTGAACTCCAAACCACCAACTTCAGGTTTGCTCAGATTAAACCATTCAACCACCTAGTCATCTTGATAACGAGGAACTTTTATCGAATGATACTGTAACACAGAAAGTATATAGACCTCACGTGACTTGCCGACTGCGTATAACTCTCAGGGTTATACGCAGTCGGCTGCGTATAACCACTTCGTTTCCACATTCTGTGTGTGGACATCCGTATCAAAAAAAAAATTGTTGTCTCTTTTTCTTCCTGGCATATCGGTAGCTTGGCAGTAATAAGTATTTAAATGTATTAGTATTGTGCTATATAATTTTATAGCCTCTATACGGAAGAAAAAATATTTATTAACAGACTCCAATGTAAGAGTAAGAATAGTTGTTTATATAGCACTTCCAACTGGAAAAACTGAATTTTTTTCTTGGCCGACGCTCAAGTGGTAGATTACCTACCTTAAATACACTCTTTCCTTTCCCATTTTTTTCTTTTTTTTTTTGCACCTCTGCTGTCATGAAGGGAGTCATTATTTTAAAAAAATAGTGTAAAAACACGGTAAAACAGCCTATGTTAAAATGAAGTCTACGAAAAAATATAATGTAGCCGACAAAAAACTATATGTCATACATTTTCTAAAGTTGTTTCTTTGTTGTCTCCATCTTTTTCAGTGGCAGAGCTCATTTCTAATCTTGAATATTTTTTTTTAACTGTTTAAGGAACGTATACAATGGACACTTTCTTTAGTGTTTTGGAACTGACTCCACTATGAAGTATAATGCTAGTTACAGCCCTTGGCACTTTCCATACTTTCTAATCATGGAGAGCGCTTTTTAAAAAACGAAGTGGCTGCGTTTGCCGTGGCTGCAATCTGGACCTCTTGTTTGGGAGATAGCGAACTTTTAAGGATTGCTGACAACTGTACTGTAAAACGCTTGAAAAAAATTTTTTAGAACGTGTGTTTATTTAGGGTTTGTTATTTGGAACCGGGTTATCCGTGACCATGGGGGCAAGGAGTGCATCGAAGGTTTTACTTCGCTACCACTTAGTTTACCAGCATATTACATTATTTTACATCATTTGCGGTTTCATGCCGTAGTACGTAGGCCTCTCCATAGTCCATAGCTAGATCATTTTAATTCTTAGCTAGTAAAAAATTTAAAGTTTTATGCAGGGGCCTTAACAACGATGTAGCTTGATGCGCCCAAAATGGTACGTTTTGCGTCGTTACATGTTAAGTTATGGACAAATTAAGTATGAAATTCTCGCTTCAGTGTGCATCGTAGTTATACGGTTCGAATTTTTTTTGGCCCCAGTTGGGAATATTGGGGATGGTAGGATAATTGTACGAAAAAATTAAATGTCACGGGAGAAAAAGAAGTAACTGAAAAAAATGACAGGCAAAAATAGTCACAGGAAAAAAGTTACAGAAAAACATTTTATTAACCGTAATTTTATTTGTAAGTATGGATTTTGGTCCACCCTGTGTATTTCATTTCCCCAGTATCCCCATAAGTGGTGGTAATACAATACTCACAAAATAGACCAGGGGGGATGGGTGTTGGCTTCCACCTCTTAGGGAGGGGGTATGAATTACCCCAATACCAGCCACTATAAATGTGATTTTAAAAGCGCTATAGTTTATAAGACATCGTAATGATGCGTGAGATGAAGCCTAATATATTATTTCCGTGCGTTTCGAAGCTTATGTCACAAAAACAGATATATGGTAACACGGAATAATGTAGGGGAGATTTAGTTTGCATTTTTAACTGTTGTATTGTTTGCTGAAGAAGGCGTTTTCCAAAATTGTTCATTGTTTTCTATTTTCTTATACGCTTTCCCCTAACCAGGGTTGCCATCGCATAAAAATAAAATTTACAGACAAGTATCTTAAATCTATTCAGATACCTACGGACCAGGGCCGACTCAAGGTACCGGCAAATCGGGAAGTTGCCCGGGGCGTCATGTTCTTAGGGCGCCATCAACGATCGTCAGAAATAGGAAAAAGCATTGCATGTGGGCGTCAAGGAATACAAATAAAATTTAGTGCAATATGTTAGTCTTTCACACTACATAAATCGTATGTTCGTGCAAAGGAAGCGGCGGGAAAAGTCACTACTGACAAACGCATGTAGGTGCTTCGAGTTCTTCACCAGTATCTCGTGACAGCGACTTTGATATGGCGACTGCTGTAGGGTTGTCATGCGTATTGCTTATCGTTAGAGCTCTTTTTCGCTGACTTTGATCGTTTGGCGGTTGGCGTTTGTAGACCCGTCGCTGAGCAGGTGACGACCATGAATTTGCCACTCAGTTTGGAATCGAATTTTCAGTTGTGCAGAACAGTGCATTTTCAGTTTCCTAGCACGATGAACCTCGGTGTGATCCATCGATTTTAGAAAGTTTAGTAGATTATCAATAATAGATTAAAGTAAATTGATTATAATCGTGATATGTGAGATATATTCCACTCGGAAAGTAATTTAATTATCTCTCTTTGTAATAAATGTGTAATGTGATAACTATGTAGGCCTATACATGTATCAAAATGTTACAAATAGTCGAGATTTGCTGAATGACCAGTAGAATAAGTATAAGTATTTTTGTTATCTGCTATCTCTCTTTTCTATATAAAATAGACCATTTCCCTCGTGAAAATTCGCTTCTTGTATTTTTTGTTTTATGACATTTATAATGATATACCGTAAATAGCTTGAACCATCACTGGGATTACAGACTAATAAAGCTATTGATAAGGATATTCAGTTACAAAATTAAATGGAAAAGAATGCGCCCATTAGCGTAAAGTTGTAGAATGTTTAATGAGCATCACTCAATATTTAACTGAACGAAATTAGTCTTTTAGAGGAACTTCAGACATAATATTTACACCATACAGTGGGTTTTTTTTTTAAGGCAATAGGCTTAGGCAATAAAATCATTACCTAAACCCTATTTTTTCCTTGCAAAAATAGTAACCATTATACTTAAAAGGGGCACTAAAGTTAATCTCGCCTGAGGCGCCAGCATGAGGCGCCAGCATGAGGCGCCAGCATGAGGCACCAGCATGAGGCGCCAGCATGAGGCGCCAGCATGAGGCTGGCCATGCTACGGACGAGCAACGATAACAAAAAAAGCTTACCGGTACAAAGCTTCAAAGATTCGCTTGAAAATGTTTTTATGGCTTTGTATTCTTCAAGGCATGCGGCTGATTCGACATCGAGGCTTGAGCATCATTTGAACGATCTGGTTCTGATAGTGTATACATTTGTATGGCATGCTCATCAGGGAAAACGGGCCGCTCCTTGGCGGACCGCCCCTTCTTCCTACGTTAGTGTGCATGCGTTAATAATATTTCATTTAGTTATGGTAGAGCAGTGCGGACCGCACCGGGTGTCACCATCTCGAGGGTTACACCAAATTGAAAAAATTGCTTATTTACAGAGCACACACCGCTAGGTCTGACTGAATTTTCTAAAAAGGATAACCGATCACACGCTAATTTTTCACATGTAAATAATCCCAATGATGCGTCAGAAACATCTTTTTGACCATTTTTCAACGCCGATTGAAGTGTTTGGTAACTTTCATAAATGACATATTGATATTGTTTCTGCACGAGAAGCGCTTTCACTTTGTGGAACATGCTATTGAAAATGTACTTTTAAAATCAGAAAGATCACAAAGGTTTAATAAGAGAATGAAAGGAGAATAATTAATAGATAGACTCATGTGAGAAGAAAATAGAAGGGAGATGCGGGTGTGCATTACTCGCTTTTACTCCAGGTCAGTGATCAAGGAAGTAGCAGATATGTTTGGGGCTGTTCAACTCAAAAGTCATCTATCAGCAAGCGAAGAAGAGTTATTGGTGCCCGTTCCAAAATTAACCTCTTTCTATCACGAGTTATCAGAGAATTAACTTTAAAAGAAATACCCAGGCTTATAAGACACTGAAGGCAACTGATATTGAATTTCACAAATTCAAGGACTGGTCAGTATTTGATGTTGCGAAATTCATAGCTGAATGACTTCCTAGAATCTCTTCCAATATTCTCGCCAAGCCTTCAATTGTCTTACGATCTGTGTGACTGTGGCGTCATGAGAGCAGACCTTTTTTTTAAAAAAGGCATATCAAGACCTATGTGCGATCCACCTTGGGATAGCCAAGGCTTTGATCTGGCTCTACTCAGTTGAAAAACTTGAAAGTGAAACGGTGAAGGATATTGAATTTGATCAAGTGATTGACAGATTTGAAATTTGGAAGACCACGAAAGGAAATTTTTTTAGTAAAGTAAATTTAATGTAAAAATAATTATAACTTAACGTTGTTGCTTCTTCTTCCTCTATCCTACACATATTGAGGGCCCACGACCACGATCAATGCATTAATCATTTTGGCTCCTATATATTTTCAAATACTGTTTTTAAATACATTTACCTCCCGAACTTTATTAATTATTTGTTTTTGTTCTTGTCATAGTTATTCTGTGGACTTATTTAACAATGACAAACCATCTTGGAAGTTGGCGTAGGGGGGCGACACCATGAATTTACCGCCACCGGGTGAGACCGACCCTAGCTACGCCACTGTGTGAGACTGACCCTAGCTACGCCGCTGTGGTAGAGCACTTTGAAATGTTGCTAGTTATGTTTCGCTACAGTTGACGTGTCACGGTGTAATCTAGCAGGTACTTTTGGAGGTTTTTCAAATAATGGAATAAACAGAATCTGAACGCCTTATAACTCGAATAACTTGGAATCCGAACGCTACTTTGAAATCCGAACTCCAGCACATTATACGTGCGCTTGTATACTTACCATTACATTTCCCCAGCCCTTGGGCCACCCATACTCTGTGTTGTTCAGGGTGAAAGCATCTCGTGTGTGATTTTTTAAAATTATATATTTTATGCTTAGTTACCCGTCTTTAAATCCTTCATATTAACTTCGCTTTTGTTCGTGGATGGCTGGCTGGCAAAGTCTTCGGACGGCTATTATTGACCCACTTCAAGTCAACCTATCAAGCTGAAACTTTGCACATAGACTCGTTGCCGATGCCACACTAGCTGTCAAATTTTTAGCCCCACCCCCAAAAATCTGTTTTTCCTGTTTTTCAAAGGGAAGATGAAGGAAAAAGGATTTCACGAAATAAAATTCCCGATTACTGCGCTAAATAAAATTCCCGATTACTGCGCTCAATAAGATTCCCGATTACTGCGCTCAATAAGATTCTTTTAAAAAAATATCGCAAATGAGTTTGATGCGTAGTAATGTTTTCTGTTTTTTTTTTTTGTTTTTCTGAAAAAGTTCTTGAGATAAATATGGGGTGTAAAATTTGTGCTATGTGGTTAGGAGTCAATATATCGATTTTGGAAGTGGAAAGTGAAGAAACAAAATTTGGAAAAGTATACCAAAACAGCTGAGTGCCAGCCAAAATGTAAAACTATAGCTCGCTAATTCTGGACCACGTGACATTGCCACAAGAGAACGTTCAACCTCACTTTTTAAATGCTAGCATCCAAAACTATGATTGGATGAGATATCCATTTCTTTCAATTTCAACCGAAGGATGAACTTTTCATTTAGGCCTACAGAGGAAGAAGAATGAGCTGAAAATTTAAAAATATATATTGGCAGAGGCGTAGCGATGGGGGGGCAGGGGGGACAAATGTCCCCGGGCGCAAGCTAGTTAGGGGCGCCAAAATGTGATTTGACATTATATTATTGGTAAAAAATAATGGGTTTTAGAGTTGAAAAAAGAAAAGGGGGCGCTTTAAAATGGATCTTGTCCCCGGGCGCCAAACACCTTCGCTGTATATTGGAATATTTTAAATTGAGTTAGGAAGAAGATGAGTTAGATCTAGCTTTTGAATTTGTGTTTCAGTAATGCATTCAAAATATATATTTTAACAAGTTTTCACGAGATATGTTGTTTAATCAAACATTGCTTTATTTGACTTTAACTTTAATGTTTTGACATATTTCTTAAAATAGATAAGTTTAAAACCCGTAATACTGGTAAAACCAACTAAATTTGTCGCGAAATAATGTATCATAATGAATGGCAAAAAAGTGTTTCGCCAGCGCCGCATAGTTGTAAAGCACTGCTCTAGGAGATCAGAAAGTATGAAAGAGATGGAGACAAAAAAACTCCTCTTACTCTGGATGAATTAAACAACAGCTCATTGATGATGTGATTTTTAGGCAATAGTTTGTGTGAAAACCACTTTTCTACACGATGATTTATTAAAAGGCAGATCTGTTAACTGGGATTCATAGAATTTGTGGGACACTGGAATGGCGTAATTCATTATCTATTCTTTTAAAGGGAAAACAATTGTCTCGGACCTCAAACGATTTGGAACTCGAACGGGGAATTGTAACAAATTAAGTATTAAGTTCGGATTCCGAGGCCCCGTTGTGATTCAAAGAGAGGTCCGATGGGATGAACATATTAACAATGTATGTAACCAAGCAAACAAGACCCTAGGGTTCTTAAGGCGAAATCTAAAGATTGGCAACTCCTGTGTGAAAGAAAGAGCATATAAAGCCTTTATCCGTCCGATTTTAGATTATGCATCTTCAGTCTGGGACCCATTTACCCAGAAGAGCATTGACAGGTTGGAGGCGGTCCAGCGACGAGCAGCACGCTTTGTCCTAAACCGCTACAGGAATACCTCAAGTGTTGGCAGCATGCTAGAAACACTAGGCTGGTCACCATTGGAGAAACGACGACGACAATCCAGGCTCTCCATGATGTACAAGATAAATAATGGGCTGGTCCACTGTTCCAGTATTAAACAGAAACTCGTACCTCTCCCCCATAGACAGCGACGAGGCCATGACAGGCAATTCAGGCTCATACCAGCAAGAAGCCAGTATAGGAGCTGCTCATTCCTGCCCAAGACAATCAGGGACTGGAACAATCTTTCAAAAGGAACGGTTGAGGCGACAACACTAGACACATTTGTGTCTATTGCCTCAAGCCTTCAAACCCCCAGTGCATGATTCCCTCACAAAGTGGCACTGGAAATCTGTGAAATTTCCTCATCAACACCAGGAACAGAAACATTGCAAATCCCATCTACATGCATAGGAGCCAAAATGATCAATAAATTGATCGTGGGCCCTTAAGATATAGAAGAAGAAGAAGAAGAAGATTCTAATACTAATATTAAAATGGAGACATTGTGTTGAGTTTTCAATCACTCAATTGTTATTAAATCACGTGGGGCAACTTAAATTTCAATTGGAAAATTATTTATTCTTGATAATGCAGCTTTATAAGGTTATATGCTACTTTTTAAACTAGCAACTTTGCATATATTTTATTCAATGAATGATGGTTCTTAATTCATTCGTAACTAAGTGATGTGTGGAAGAGAGCAGCAGAGGAGAATTACATTATTAATTTTTATCCATTGAAGAGCCGGAAATAGAAATCAGACCTGCGCTTTTCACTTACACAACAACTTCACTTCCTTTTCCTATGTAAACTTCAAAATGGTGGGTTGTAGAAGCGAAAGTCCGTGATTAAATCTGTTGTAATCTATGTAATTAAACATAAAAAAAAATATGTTTTAGGAGCTTACCGTTATTTATATTTTATACAATGACAAGGTTGCCAATGAAAAGCGTTTTTGTTATAGTTAATGTGTAATGTTGATACTTTCTAAATACAAGTCTTCTCCTCTCCCTCCTTAGGAAATGCAAATCTGTCTAAATCTTTTCCTAACCCAGTGGCTTTCTTGATCCAGCAAATCGACTTTTCTTTTTACTTGCTAAATTAAAACTTAATTCAGTAAGTGATTGAAGAAATGGGTATCAAGAGTTTAGAGAGTTTATTACAAGCAGGATTAATAACCCCTGTAGTTTTTCGCCAAATTAAGCACAATTCTTTAGTCAGTATTTTCTGATCAATACACCATGTTGTCACAGCCAAACACAAATATAGACCTATTCCCATAAGGCCTATATGTTTTGAAGATAGATGGTTTTGTATGAATATCTTCAGTGTTTAAATGGAATTGTGATTATTGCAAGGTACAGAGTTAATGGTTAACCAGTGTACCATATTAAAAACCAAACTTTAAAAAATGTAGAAAATACAGGCCTTCTCTACTGTCTAATAGTCGTTTGGTTTAGTAACAGTTAGGCCTATTATAATGCACTTAACCTAGTATAATAGTTATTTCATGTGTTTATCTACAGGTTAACGTCCCAAAACAGAGACGCACCTTTTGCAAGGGCAAGAAGTGCAAAAAGCACACTGTTCATAAAGTGACACAATATAAGGCTGGCAAAGCCTCCTTGTATGCGCAAGGTAAGTGTATTAATTCATACTTTAATTTCATCCTTTGTCTTTGATGAATTCCATTTCATTGTTAGTAGGCCTCATCAGACATCATGATGTACTTTTAAACAGGTTAGCTAGTTTTGTGATGCCAAGATTAAGATGGTGATTGAGATCTTTTCTAGTCTTTTTCATACTGGATGCATCATATCTATAATTGTTACAGCTGTTTACTTTGGCTCAGGAGATTATTCATCAGTGATAGTTATTTAACCCATTCAATACGTCACATTTTTTTAAGGGAACGCAGTAAAATTTTGGGACAAAAATTCTATTTGACCTGATGATTTTAAACTGAAAAGCTCTGTTTTGTTATTTATCAAAATTATATCATGCTGCATATCCAAATGTAGGTAATTGAAAAAGGAATATGTTTCTAGTATAAAAAAGTGATAAAGAAATACCCAAAGAAAATTTTTGGGGGTATTATTGCAGGTTTATGTAAAAAATTATTTAAAATTTATTTGGTTTTGCTTTACTCACCAGCTCAGAAATCAGATAACAATAATCCAATCAAGTTCATATTTTTTTTAAAATGAGTCTTGTGATACATCCAAAACAACTGGAAAGTTTCATTGCAGTAGCTCCAGAAATTGTAAAGTTATGAATTTCTTTCCGAAGACACGTGTTAAAATTTTTTTTTCAAAAATTCAACAATAAAAATAGTTATACTCAAATATTTACACATATTTCACATATTTACTAAATATATACACAAATGAAGTTATTATTTTAAATGAAAGGCCTTGAAGCATCCTTTAGGATGGAGATGGGGTTTGGATTCACACCCAGTACAATAGAAATGTGTGCGTACTCGCTTTATTGCAGTTGAGCAATATGCACAAGATCGGTCCCTTTCATGATAATCAACAATGTGCTGAGCATCATTAGACTATCACTATCACTATCACTGTTGTCAGATTTATCTTCATTTGAACTTGAATCGTCTAAGCAAATCAATTTACTTGCCTCATCGGCAGTCATAGATCGAAATCCTTGTCGATTAGAACTAGCACTGTTATTCGATGCAGCCATTTCAATCAGCTGTGTTTTGTTTACAAATTTTTAAGTGGAAAAAACGAGCACAAAATACACTAAACGTGGGTTATTCGGTTTAAAATTCAACACAAAGGAAGTGGAACTCTTCTGAATAAAAAATTGATAAGCTATATTATAAAATAGTTGAATGGAAAAGTTGGAATACTAATAAAATGAAACAAACCAGTGGTGACGCAGAGAGTGGCTAAACGTACTCTGCCGAAATCGCGGTGACGCACACTGCGGCGAAACGTATTAAATGGGTTAAGGAATCAAGAGTAGGAATCCACAAGATATTTTTCACACAGAATTTGGATGAAACCCTTTGTAAAATACAGTCCTTAGCCATGGGACCTTCTAAACCTTTCAATCCATAGAGGTTGGTTGATATTTCAACAGATGCATTTTACAAATTTTTTTTAACTTAAATTATATTTCTTATTTCACAGGTAAAAGGCGTTACGACAGAAAACAGAGTGGTTATGGTGGTCAGTCTAAGCCTGTGTTTAGAAAGAAGGTAAGGATTGATTAAACAGTTTGCAAACTAAACAAGCTTCTAGTGATAAATCTACTAGTAAATTCAAAATGAAAAAGCCTGAATCTGTTAAATTTATTGATTGGTGTTATTTTTCTGGGACTTTAATAGACATTAAAAATTAAGTGCAGTGCAAAGTGAATTGAAGTAAGTCAAGCAAGAAGTTAAAAACATGTTGTTGACCTAAACTCTTTGTTAGCAGCAAGTGAGAAGTTAACAGACCTTTTTACTCTTACGATTTTGGCTTACAATGTATGATTTTGATGTCTTTTACTGTTGCCAAGACCTTCCAGAAATTGGATTTTAAGAGGCAGAGTTGAAAATATATTCATAACAGTAGTTTTTTATGATTAAAAAAAAGTAATAAGTAAATTTTCATTTGTTAGTTTTAGCTTGCATTTCCATTCTACACCAGGTAGTGAATGGATCCTGAAATAAGATTGGTTGGTGGGCAATGTTCCCTCTAAGGTTTGTTGGTTCGTGTGCAAAATCATAAAGTTGTGTGCAAATTTTTACAGCATCAATTTTTTTGTGCGCAAAATTTTACAGCCTACAGACAAACACACACTTAAGTGGAAATTAGCTGCGCGGTACTTAAAACTGCTGCGCGGCGTCTGTGAGACAGCTTAAAGGGAACATTGGTTGGGGGCCATCTATGATTATATTACTTTTACCATGAGAGTGGAATGGCGTGGCCATGATTTAAGAGATTTTTGTGAACAGGGTTAGGGGTCTTAAGTCTATAAAATTAACACCCCTACATTTTCACAATGATAGTTTTGATGGTCATTTGTTGGTTTGTGTTTTCATAATGAACTTGCTAGACATGGCAACAGTAATATTTGCGTAGTTGTCCTATTGACAATTTTAGTAAATCCGGGGCCATCCATATATAACATATGCACGAAGGGGGTAGGGGGATTTTTGAGATTTGAGAAAGTTTGTGCACTATTAAAAATTCTACAATGTTCATCCTGCATCTCTAGCATATTTATATCCTGAATGAATAACATGAATTGTTTTGTGAATAATGTTGCCATGTATTTTCCCAAATGAACTCTCTAGTATACCGGTACTCTGATAGTACTTAGTAGTAGAGATATTACAGTAAATTTAGTCCACCATACGTTTAACATGCAGATGCAGGGTCGGCCTTAGGCCACTGCAACCTATGCGGCCGCAGTTGGCCCCGCACTTTTTTTCTAATACAAACTCTTAATTTTCACTTATTATCCTCATCCCTACCCAGACTCGGCCCCGTGCAATCCGTTTCGCATAGGGCTCGCAATTGTTAGTGCCGGCCCTGTGCGGATAACATATATTTTGTTAGTCTATGCCAGTGCTTCTAAAAAAAATAATTTCCAGCGCCAATACGAAATTCAGGTTTTCGCCAGGCTCCGTGTTAAATTCTAGCAAGTAACTTCAAAGTAGCAAATATATAAAATATAGTGTTGGATAAAAATAAATATAGACACTTGTGTAGGTCACTAAGTGCCATCTTCATCTAGTAACTGCAAACAGTAGTTACTCAAGTGGGTACTGTTTGCACAACTGGTAGATTATAAGGGCTACCGGTATTTTTCAATTTTTTGTTGTTGTCAATACTCCTGATGTGAGGATGACCAAGGATATATTCAACGTGTAAGCAGGTGGCAATTCTGCTTTTCCTCAAGACCCCTTGTCTTTGTGAAGAAAAGGAGATTTTATACTTAAATTCACTATAAGGATCATTTTTAAACACGTTTTTGGCACCCCTTGATTTTGGCTCTTCGCCCCATTCTCTTGGCTCTGCTTGAGGGCAACAAAGACTCTGTGTGAAGCTGCTTATATTCTGGGCTCTCTGAATAGCCCGTGGTGAAAACCTGTGGCTCTTTTCGTTTCCTGTAATATCATGATTAAATAAAGATGATCTGATTTAGGGAGGGGGTGTGTATTTTTTAAAAAGAAAATGCATTTTTAAGGGGTGGGGGAGCTGGAGTAAAAAAAAAAAAAAAAAATTCCGTACATACTATATAGATGGCACCTCCTCTAACCTGTGGCTTTTTTTGTTTCCTGTAATATCATGATTAAAGAAAGATGATCTGATTTAGGGGGGGGGTGTGTATTTTTTAAAAAGAAAATGCATTTTTAAGGGGTGGGGGAGCTGGAGTAAAAAAAAAAAAAAAAATTCCGTACATACTATATAGATGGCACCTCCTCACCTTTGTTTGATTGGGTTATTTTGTGACATAGTAATTTCTAATGGCTGAACTGCGACAAGTGCAGAAATGGAGACAATTAGAGGGTGTATTCTCAGCTGTTCGGGGCAGCGTTAAATTTTGACATATTTTATCTGAGAGGGCCTTTAAAATCAATGTTTAGATCACACAAAATAGCTGTACGATTTGTAATACCTCCTCTTCCTTTCAACCATAACAGCTTTTCATAATGAATAAATCTTACCTTACTTTGCAGGTTTTTAAATGACGCCCTAGTTTAATTCATATTTTTAATACATTTTATGCTCACCTGACGTTAAATTTCACTGTTACTTTATTGTTGCCAGTGACTGACTGTGATAATGTGATCTGCAAGTTCATCTAAATATTAATTGATATCTATAGCAGACACAAGTCTGCAAAACAAAGTGACCACAGATTGCAATATAAATGTCAGTCATGTGGCCTTCTTTTGGAAGTTCCCTTTTTTGATGTCGGCTTAACTCAATCCCACGAGACACCTGATGCCAGTAGTCATTGTATACATACATTATATATACTGTTTGATTATTTATTTACTATTACAATACTTTATTGTACGATTTTGACACTATAATGTATGGTTTTAGGAGTTCTAGGTCTGGGTGGAAGAAAAGTGTTACCAGCAGTACCAGTAGTGGGAATATGTTTTCTTGAAATGACATTTTTTAAATAAATTTTTTTTTTTTTTGGTCAAACTATATTAATTTTAATTTTCTCACCTCTAGGCCAAGACAACAAGGAAGATTGTGTTGCGTATGGAATGCACAGAATGCAAATACAGGAAACAATTACCCATCAAGCGATGCAAACACTTCGAGTTGGGAGGTGACAAGAAGAGAAAGGTAAGGAAACTTTTTTATGGAACAGGTGTAATTTAATAAAGTCATACCTGTTATTTTTGTGTGTTTTTTTAATGCCTTTAAGAAAAGATTTAATGATGTGAAGAACTTATAAAAAATATCATAAATTTTTTAAACCTCTTCTCTTCAGTTTTACAATCATTTTAAATATTTCTTTTGTTTACTTCCACAGGGCCAGATGGTTATGTTTTAAACTGTGAATAAAATCAATGAACTCTAAAAAAAAAATGGATTACCTTTTCTTGTTATATAGATAAGTTTGTTCTCTTAAGAATGCATATTATGCAATGAATGTTTCACATCTGTGTGAAAGTGAAATTTACTTAGATTAAAACAAAATTTGTGGCAACTGCCACTTACATTTCATTCAGTTTGCTGCAACACTTATTTTATCCTTGTGGCGCACATAGGGAAACACCCTGTATTTTTTTTTACTCCCCACCATGGTGAAATATAAAGAAATAAGTAATTAGTCTCTAAAACGAAAAAAAAATAGTTTCTGGTTAGGGTGGTTAAAAAAAATTAGAGGTAATATTCATGTTCCACCAAGAAACTACAAAATGAAAGGTAAAGTCTGAGTGCTGCCTCAGAACTCAAATGGCTTAATGTTTCATTAGACTTTTTAATACCTGTACCCTAGTATAATAAAAAAAATATTATCCTAAATTTATGCGGTTGTAATGACATTATTCCTATTATACATCTCAAGTACCATAAATGAGGACCTATTGTGCTTTATCCAGATCTGAACACACCATTTGAAGTGGACTGGTAATTTGTAGAGATAATAACAAATTTAGATGACTGAAAGAACCCATGGCAGTGTTAGTCATTGCTGAACATAGCGGTTATAATTAATATTACTGTAACACTGCAATGAGACTGAATTCACAAGGCATGAATTCTCCTTATTAATTTAAATTTTCACCACAGTCATAGAGTAGAGCAGCCTAATGGTATCACAAAATCTTATATCACTTGGGTGTTCTTTTCCTAAGAAATAAGTTTATGTTCTAAAAGTTCAAGATACTCATTTCACAGATGAGTGTAGGGTACCACCTGACTCATTTTGCAGCACGCCTAATACAAATTTCCATTTGGCCCAATACTAACATCTTCACCAATGAAATGCCAATAGCCTTAAAAATCAATCCTTTGAGACCTGATTTTGAACCAAATATAGATTATAATATTATACATCAAGTACGACATCTCCAAGCCTAAAGTATGATGGCAATTATAGTAAAATCTTGTACTTGCAACATAGCAATAGTGGGCAACCACTGACAGATATCATGTAGCTCTTTTAAAAATGAGCTATGGTACAATATGTTGTGTAACTTGTTTTGGACTTTTTGCTATACATCATATTTTTTTACTGAAATTTTACAAGTCAATTACCTAGTACTGTTAGCTATATCAATGTTTTTTTTTTAAAAATACCCACTGTTAGCTATATCAATTTAAAAAAAAGTAATATCCCAGTACCGGTACCAGTAGTAATAAAAAAGAAAAATGTTACCTTTGACAGGAATAGTGCCAATCTTAGAGTAGAGGGCTGTGGTGAGTGTGAGGCACTACAACTACAACAAAATGAATTTTTATGGTATTTTGCTCATGTACCTCTTACAGGAAAAGGGAAATTAAATTATTTTGAATTCTGCTACTGTCCATTTTTCACTATATATTTCACTTGATATTCAAAACAGGAATCTGTTACTGGAGTTACATATGAATTATCAATAGTTACATTATATAAATTATTACCAAATTTATCATCTTCCTGGCTAAATTCCAAAGTTGGTGTAACGTTAGTACCGGTACAGTAACCAAATTGATAAATATGTGATTTAGGATTTGGATGTAAAAGTTGTGGTTTATCCAGTTGGGATGTGTGCAGCACATGTAGTAAAGTGACACATTCTTACGGTATGGTATTTCACATTTATTGTCCAAAAAAAATGAAAAGCATAAAATAACAGTTATCATCTGCCTAGGTACAAAATTAGGGTGCTGGGTGGCCAAGTGGTCTAAACTGAGCAAATCTCAAGTTGGTGGTCTGGAGTTCAATTCCAGGTAGAGCAAAAAACACCACCAGCACCCCGGGTAGATGGGACTCGTTAACCTTGGACGGCAACTCATCTAAAAGAAGGAAGCTCTGAAATCAAACCCGGAGATGGAGTCCCGAAAGGCGGATAACATTGATACAATGAAACATTCCGACAACTCCTGCGACGTCACTGGTGCCAAGCTGTATCATCCAATGATGTTCCCTTGGGTTACCCAGCGGCGTGGAGAGAGGCGATTTGCTGTTGGGAACCAGCTTATAATCCTTCAAGTATAATAATCCCAGGCTATGTGGATTTCGTCCTACGAAGCTCACTCCATCGTCACATTGTGACGGACGGATGCCAGCAAAAAGGTACAAAATTATATTTGATGATTATGCTAAAGGGAATGCAACGACTGATGAAAGTGAAAATATTGTTTTCAAAAAAATTGTACCATGTATTCATTGTTCAATAGCAATTTTCCACTTTTTAGTGCAATGACAGAAAACTGCATTGTGACAAATGATTCTAAAGTCTGTTCAATAATAATGCTTAGAAATTATAAAAATAAAATATATTTTCATATGATAAACACAGTATTAAAAATTATTATTTTCATTAGAAAAAGGAGACTATACTCTAGTATAGACACATGTCCCAGTAAGTTTACTGTACTGTAACTGTAAACTTTGGGGCATAGCCTGCAAACAGTAATTTAAAGTTTGCATGAGTCATTACTATCTGAGTGACTGATTAAAATGTTTCTTGAAATATAACTTCCTTCTTGATATGGTATAAAATTAGAACGTACCGTACCAGTACCAGTTCATCCCAAAGGAAGAAAAGCTACCGGTAAATCCTTTTACAAACAAATATACAGGTACTGGTAGCACTAGTACAATACCGGTATATTGAACATTTGAAAAATACATATTTCAAATCATCTGCTGGTTAGGGACCTCTCCCCTCACATTGTTAGCCTATGCCTTGTTCCAGATAAGTGAAAAATATGTTTGGTATGGTGCCAGTTCATAGTATGGTAATTAAGATAAGGATAATAAATCCAGTCAATATATTTATTCAGTCTTAAACTTAAAATATACTTTTTTAAAAACTTGCATCATCACATCAAGAGAATATTTAGATTGATGTGTTAATAAGTACCGGTATAATAATAATTCTGCAGCATCAATTCTGAACTGATACTATTGGTGCAAAAACTGCAGATGAGGGTTGATAGACATGGACAAGTTCATCCCAGCCACAGTCTGCCATCTAAAAAAAAGGAGATAAAATTCATATCAGTGATATCACTGTATTTATCAGTCCCATGTATTCCTTCAAGAAAACCCTAGAAACATGCATCGTTTTTCATCTACGTAAGAAAATCCTATGTTTGATCAAAAGAGATTGACATTGAGTGGCTCACTGTCATTACTGACGAAGGTACTGGTACCAGTACCGGGTAATTAAATAAATAAAAACTATCCTGGGTAGAGACAGACCGAATTTCGGTTTTGGCGCCGAAAGTGGCCATTTTATCACTTTCGGCCAAGTTTCGGTTTCGGCCGAAAGAGAAAAGTTAACTTTCGTCTTTTCTTCGGTTTCGGCCGAATTTGACTCAGGTTTTCGGTCATTTAATACTCAGCGAAAGCAATATTTAACAACAAACTAAGCAACATTTAAAAACAAATTAAGCGATCTTTGAGAACAAACTAAACGATATTTAACAACAAACTAAGCGACATTTAAGAACAAACTAAACGATCCTTAAAACAAACTAAACGATTTTAAGACCGAACTAAATGATCTTTAAGAAGACAACAAATTATCTTTAATAGTTATTAATAGTAAACTAAATGATTTATAAGAATAAACTAAGCGATCTTTAACAGAAAACTAAATGTTCTTTAGGAACAAACTAAAAGATCTTTAAGAACAAACTAATCGATCTTAAGGAACAAAATCTATTATCTATTGTTCTTAAGAACAAACTAAGCGATCTTTAAGAACAAACTAAATGGTCTTTAACATCAAACTAAGCGATTGTTAACAAACTAAATGATCTTTAACAACAAACTAAACGATCTTTAACAACAAACTAAATGATTTTTAACAAACTAAACGATCTTTAAGAACAAACTAAAAGATCTTTAAGAACAAACTAAAAGATCTTTAACAAAAAACTAAGCGATCTTTAACAAAAAACTAAGCGATCTTTAAGAACAAATTAAGCGATCTTTAAGATTAAACTAAGCGATATTTTAGAACAAACTAAGCGATCTTTAAGAATAAATTAAGCTATCTTTAAGATTAAACTAAGCAATATTTTAGAACAAACTAAGCGATCTTTAAGAATAAATTAAGCGATCTTTAAGATTAAACTAAGCAATATTTTAGAACAAACTAAGCGATCAATAACAACCAACTAAACGATCTTTAAAAAAAATTAAGTGATCTTTTAGAACCACTATTTTTAGAGACCCGGTTTAAAAAAATAATATTTGCATTAATTCCCCCCCCCCCCCCATTTTGCCAAATTTTTTCCTACCATACTAATTTTAACAAAATTGTAAAGCAATTTAAAATACTTTTATATTAAAATGGAAAAATCCAAAGT